CTCTTGGCAACCAATTGACGCTACTGAACAGATTCAAAGAAAGGACAGCTCCACTCTTCAGATGCCACTGATTTGAATACCTGCTGATGTCCGCACCAGTAAAATGCTTCTCACAAAGGAATGTAGACAGTGTAACATTAATACCGTCACGTCCATCTGCTCGTTTTATGAGGTTACACCACTCAAGCTTCCCGATGCTCTTTTGTGAGAATCTGAGAAAATGTAGGTGGGATGGCGATCCATCAGTTTTGTAAAAGGTGTTATAACACCCATTGCCTACCGAGTGATCTTTTCCTCGTCTTTGAAATACCTTCTACCATTTCAACATCTTTATTCTCTATTTCCAAAAACTTGTCTTGGTTTAAATGGTTTAATTAAAAGAATTGTAGATATTTTACATGGAAGCGGCGTATGTGATTTATGCCAAACAACAACTGTCTCTATTCCATTAAACACCTTCGTTGTCAAACGGCCAAACAAGGGATTGTGAAAAGGGTCTATTGCCACAAGGATATCACTGTTATGAACTATGACTATTCGTTGGGTTGAACTACAACTTGTTAACTTGTTGACTTTGCTAATTCAGCGGTTTTGTTAGGTCAGCGGCTTTGTGTTGTTAGGCTGCTATTTTCTTTTTTTGTAAGCACGTGTGGTAGCCTTCGTTCTTATTGCTTAGTAAGGCCTATTATCTACGGCAATGACTCGTTAATATTTATTACACTCACGAACGGTGGGTGTAAGGGTTTTTACAAGCTTAAGTGGAAAATTTGGGGTGAAATCTGTTCAAAAGAAGAAACGTTTTAGTTAATTAAGCAGCCTTAGCTACTAAAAATCAATAAAGATCCAGGCAATGATGGATGCCACGCTGGTCACATGTTATAGTTCCCTGAATGTCGACAAAACTAAACATTAATAATCTCAAGATGTTGAGTGGTACTATAACCAAAGAGCCTGAATGTGTCTTGTGTTGATTTTCTGGCAAATAGGAATTCCAAGATGAAAAGTTGGGTCAATCTACTAAATACTAATCTTCCTAATATGCAAATGAGCCTGAGACAAAAGATCCTCACCGCTCGGCCTTGAAGACGTTTACCAGCCAAAACCGCTTGGTTGATTTTCCTCTGTGCTCTTCGTGCTGGTTGTCCAGTGGTTTCTAAAGGTTCTTTTTCCCTCTTTTCTTTTGCTCTCTACAAAAGATTTCAAATTTTCTTCCTCCTTCCACCCTTTAAATTCAACCAAGGCTTTTCAAATTGGCTTCACTTTCAACAAAAGATCTACTGTTTGCCCATACAAATTATTTGGATTTGGAGTGATTTGGAGAATGAATCTACAATTGAATTTTCGAACTCGAAGCGGTCGTTGAAGGTCGTGTCATGCTACAGCTACGGCTACAGTCAGTGGCGGTGTGAGCTCTCCACAGACCTCAGGTGAGTCTCGCTGGGTTTTTATAAACTATTCTTCGTCATTTTCCTTTCCTTTTTATCGATTGAAGGATTGAAACCCTGTTCGTTATTATTTCGTTTGCAAGAGCCATATGATTCTACTTTTGACGATCTTCCATTTTGTTTTATTAGCTACATAGTTTGCTGCCCGTTTTTGGTTTTGCGATGGCTGCTGGCTATTCTCCTTCTTCACTGGCATCAGAATTGATGCCATGTGAGTACAAGTAAGCGTTGTTGTTTTTATGTGTCTTTTGCATGTTGCTTATTTCAAATGATTTTGTGCTTATTTCGATAAAATTACACCAGAAACCGACAGCTAAGAACCTTGTAGGAATCCTTCAAGGAATCATTTCAAATGATTTTATGTTTAGTTTGATGAAATAGGCGCAAAATAACTATACATTCAGATGTTACATCAATAAGTTAGAAATATATATATATATAACTTACCTTTTGCCAAAGCCAAGAGAATCAGCAACCGGGTTTTTTTGAAGCAATCTGGGTTGAAGTGCAGGCTGCAAATGCAACTAGACACCGAGTGTTTCATAAAGTCCTTTTTTGTGCACTGGACGAACTTCACCCATAACTTAATTATCTTCTCGTCTTTAGGAAATTTATGAAGCGAAAGTCCATCGCTATATACTGCCCCGCATTTCCCAACAACACATCCATTTGGCATTGTTTGTTGTCTTGGTGTAAAAAGTTAAACTAAAGAATATTGGCGTACTCGCCTGCGATATCAGCTGATAGCAAGTAACAGCCTCGATAACGAGTTCCTTTAATATCGGGTTCCTGAAGTGACTTCATATCAAAAGAGAGCACCATCATAATTAATTTTTCTATTCTTTTTATCTTCACTCCATAGGGGCACACAATTACATATGTGCCTTTCATCATGAGAAAGCATGGAACGAATGGTTGTCGAAAAGAAGTCATGGCATTAGTGGTCGTGCGAATAGCAGCAGTAAATTCATGCTGGAAAGAAACATTTGTATTTTACAAGAAAGCCAACCTTGGAACAAGTCTGAGCACCTGTGCAAATATTTCTCTGAGTTCTGCGAGCTTCACTTAACGGTAGGATAGTTTGGATAGACTACTGAAATAAGACTTTTTAATGACAATATATTTAAATGGTTGAATCATTTCCTCGAGTTATTTACACTCATACAGCCCTCAAACTATATGTTGTTCATGTTATAGGGTTTGAAAAATCATATTTATAACGCCGAGTGTTAATGAAAAATTCACTTCAAGATATGGCTTTTAAAAAACAATAATTAGATTTCTTAAAACGAATGCAGTTATTTAAGAGGCATATGCCGAAACCTAACATCAGTTGGATTTAATTAATTACCTTTTGGTTAAGAAATTAGTCAGATTTTACAGAGACAAATCACTGCGTGTAGCAATTTATACAAATAATGTCATAGAGCGACAGAACAATTGGCTTAAGACATCATATCTGGAAAGCAGAAGAAACAGCTCAATTTCAGATCTTGTTCATACAATTTTGAACCAGTTCTTGCCGGATAGTTACAAGAAGTAGGTAGACTGAAAACGAAAAACAATCGGCCAAAAAGTGTTGTCCATCACCTGATGAACAGGATGAGCTCCAACATAGGGCCATCAAATGTAACCAAAAATAGTGAGAAGCTCTTCACTATAATAAGTGGTCAGGAGAAATATCAAGTTTGGTTGGGGTCAGAAGATTACCTACCCTCCTGTCAATGCAAGGATAACAAGATAAACAAACTACCTTGCATACATATCATTGCAGTGGTACAAATGCCATGTATTGGCTGGGAGGCCCTTGGATCAAGCTTCACAAAAAACCCTCAATTTACACTTGACCCTTATTTGTGAAACCAGCAATCCTGATAACTGTCCTCATGAGAAAACCTAAGTTTTGCTGCCAGCGACTAAAAACTCACCAATTCAACCGGATTCACAAAAAATCACAAAGCCAATTGAAATAGTCAAACAAAATACAATGGTCCCAATCAAAAGAAGAAATGAGCGGTCCAGACTAAGAAGTAGCTGTGTGCAGTCATTAAAGATGCTGCATGATCAGCTGTATTTGCTTCAAGATAAAAAGGTGTTCACTGATGTCAACAAAATGATAAATCAAATCTTGTCATATACAAGAAAGCATCAAAAAAGGCAAAAGACACTTTCACCAAAAAAGAAATCAGGGAAAAGGTACTCAATACTACATCTGCCGAAAAAATACATAACAGATTTCAAAGAAGGGTTGGAACTGCAGAAATGAGAAAAGAAAAGGTAGACAATGTAGAGAGATAACAAGAATTAATGTTGAATTGATCCCGGAACAGTCAAAGGAGACCAATGTCTGGGTTGAGATTGATGGGATAAAGCTAACCAGTGAACTTAAAGCTGTGCTTGACTATGAGTTGGTTAGCTGTCAGACGAACATGTGGATGCTGCACAACAGCTTATCAAGAACTTGAGAACTGGAGTTGGAGGTTAGTTGCAAAATTGTATCACAAATAATGTTATAAATAGATTTTTTGTAAGCGGAGGAAATAAGACTTTATTAAAATAATCTGTAATATAATCTGTAATATAATATAATACAATTAAATATGGGTTTTGATTAATTTAATATAATTTTTACTATAATTTATCAATTGTCCATTTTATTTCATTTCTATAGTTGAAAATCTCTTTTTTTGCCAGAATATCAAAGCCTTATGAGCCATTTTTCACTCTAATTGTTAGTATTTGAGGCACTGTTAACTAATAATTCTCCATAATTGTAGGTCTTAACAACATTACAGCAATGAGTAATTTCAAGAAGGTGAATGTTGCCCCAGCATTAAATCAGACAATTCGGTGTCATAACATTGGAGGTCACTTAGTAACTTCAAGCAGTGTTTGAATGATGCTTTGAAACGCTAGATTGTCCCTTTGTACAAGCATTTGGCTACAGATGATGTTAATTTGGATGTAACTGTCATTTTACAGCAGCTTCAGAGATGTGGCTGTGACTGTGGACTTTATAGCATCGCAAAGGCTGTTGCACTTGGCAGTGAACAAGATCGTAACTCCCTTAAAGGGCCACTCCAGCCCAAAACTTTTTTTGCATAAATTGGTAGTTAGTCGAGAAAAAGAAGGTATCGTGAAATTTTTTTTCGAAAAGCTTAACTCGTTTTCCAGATATAGACGCTCAAAGTTGAGAATCACCGTAAAAAGACGACAGAATTTTTTTCGGAAAAAGCACTTTGTGACGTGTGAAAGGGCTATTGTTTCAACATTCGGCTCTATTGTTATACATTCGCACTGAAATTCGCACGGCTCGTTAGGGGCTCGGTAAGGGCGATTTCACATCGCTGTTTCGGAGGTCGATCGAAAGCACACATGCTGCATGATTTCTGCCTTTTGAGAGTTGAAGTCATTAGTCGACAGACGCATTAGCTTTACTCTCAAATTTTACGTGCTATTATTGCGATATTCTGATTTTTATTTTCCTTTTTTGTTTTGATTACATAGTTGACTAAGTTTATTTTCCTTTTTATTATTTTTTATTGTTTATTTGAAATGCCGACGAGGTGTCTAGTGAAGGGATGTGGCCAAGTTTCCATGCCACGGGAAGTATCGTTGTTTGAATTTCCAACTGAAGAAACAACTCGTGCAGCTTGGGCTGATTTTGCCGGAGTTGACTGCCTCAGCTCCTTGAGTCGCAATTCTCGAGTCTGCAGCAAACATTTCAAGAAAGAGTGCTTCGCGAATTACGCCATGTGGACGAATGGTTTAGCATCCAGACTGTCTCTGTTACAAAACGCCATTCCCACTGTTGTTTCTTCTGGCCACTTGGAAGCACCAGAAATCATGGATGTAACACCCACTGTAAATTACCAACCACACGCTCGCGAAATCGGAAACAAAAGAGCTAGCCAATGTGGAAATGGAATCCCTCCCGTAAGTAATAAATCCACTTTACTTTAGCATTGTTGGCGCAGATTTGACTAATCCTTGGCTTTGATCTTGTTAAATCAGTGGTTTGTGTGTTTATTATATAATTGTTTTTAGGAAAAATTGCAACAAGCTTTGCCAATACTTTCAATTTGTCGTATGTACCTTCCTATTATAATTTTTCAGATGCCTGAAAAGAGATCTGCTGGAACCCAACATAAAAGACCCAAAAGAAGGAATGTCGAAATCCAGTGCAAGATGACAAAAAGTTCCTTTTGCAAAGGTAAAAACTGGTGGTGGTGCAAGTTCCAAAGTGGGGGTCTAAGTGCAATGAAATTAAATCGTTTCAAAATGGTTTTCTACTCTTCTTTACTTTGTTTCACAAATATGTAGTAGGGATAGTCATGACCTCCTACCCTCTCCTCTGGGTACCTGTAAAATTTTTGAAAAATATTTAATAATTCATTGAAACTTATACAAACTGAATGTAGATTGAACCTAACATGCTAATTTGATTTGGGATGAGTATATGTAATAACTAATCGATATTGAATTCCAATTCAATTCATAATTAATTCATAAAATTTCCCCAGGAACTCAAGTGAAATCAACAGTGAGGTCTATTGCAACCCAGTGTGATCTGCTCACATCAATACCGAGGTCCTCAACCCCAGTTTGCAGTGATGATGAGTTAGAATCAACAGAAGTAGGATGCACAGGGTCTAGCCTATATATGTCATCCATCCAACAGTCAACAGCTACTGAAGGCAATACTTTGTAAGTGTAGTTTGTCTGAAATATTTGCTGTTGATGCTACAAAACAATGTTTTAAATATAATTAGATTTGAGGTTAAGGCACATCAATAAACTATACCAGTATGAATTTCTGATAATGTTCTGTTTTTCATTGTAGCTTCACAGAAGACAATTTGGTCAGTGAAAAGAAGTTCATTGTCTTCAAAAGCTGTTTGTGGGAATTGTTCACTACTTGTCCTTCATGCAATTCAAACTGTACAGTTGAAGAAAAACTACAGACTGGAACACAGGTGTCAGTACTTCAGTCATGTAGCATATGTGGATACACCCGAAACTGGTTGTCCCAGCCAAACTATGGTCATACACCTGCTGGAAATATACAGCTTGCTGGAGCTATTTTCTTCAATGGTTCCTCTTGCAGTAAAGTCCTAAGAACTTTGCAATCTATCAACATTGCATCAATTTCTGAGTCCACTTTCTATGAGCATGCATCCAGATATTTGCAACCCACAGTTTATCACAAATGGAAATGTGAACAAGAGAATCTGTTTCAACAGCTATCACAAATGGAAGGTGGATTAGTCTTGGGCACCGATGGAAGAGCAGACTCCCCTGGTCATAGTGCCAAATATGGTTCTTATTCGGTACTTGAAGAACGAATAAACAAAGTTATTGATATCCAACTAGTTCAGGTACAACATGTTGTCAGGTCATTTTTTTTATAATCACTAATAAATGTATGTTCTCCTTTCTCAAATATCATAACAATCAATCAATTTGCATTATACAAAATTTCCTGTGGTGAGTCTATGCCGTGGTGAATCTAGTTGTTAGCATTAAACTTCAGAGAAAATATTATTATTTTTCTATAATTCAGTGCAATGAAGTTGCCAATAGCAATGCAATGGAGAAGGAAGGGCTTATAAGATCCTGCAACCACATTAAGAGTTCAGGGCTCAAAATTGAAACACTCATCAGTGATAGGCACCTTCAAATTCAGAAGTGGATTCGGGAAAATCTGCCAGAAGTGACACACTATTATGATGTTTGGCATGTTGCCAAAGGTAAGCAAAGACCCATTAGATAAACACAGCCATGTAGTGGTATAACCAGCTAAGTTACCTCAAGTTTAAAAACTAAGGGCCCCCAACCTTTAGGGGCCCCAGAAAAAGTTGTCTCTTTCTTATTTTACTTTGAAGCTGGCATTTTTGCTGAGATAAATGAATTCAAGGGATCCCAAGCCTGTGCAATATATCAGTTGAAATGAATGGAAAGTCTGTTGATTACCATTCTATGTTTTGTCTAAATTGTTTTTCTAATGCTTATAACTGGGGGGCCCTAAGCTGGAATATTCCTAGGGGCTCCAGCTACCTCCATTACCCCAACTAGGGTTAATTGCAAAAAGGGGAATGTTGTTAATTGAAAGTAATTCTAAGTATACTTTTATTTTTCAAAGGCCCTTTTTTAAAAAGTTAGAATTCATTTCATATGCACTGGCATGGTTATTAGTGTGGTTTATCTAAGCACTATTGTTCTAGGATTCAAAAAAAAAGCAACAGCTCTTTCGAAGCAGAAAGGATGTGAAATAATTGCTGGATGGATAAAAAGCATGTCAAACCACATTTACTGGTGTGCATCAACAAGTTCTGGTGGTGACGGTGAATTGATCCTTGCAAAATGGTTGTCCCTTATCAATCATATGCACAACATTCATGAAGATCATTCGGACCAATTCCCATCCTGTGAACATGGTGACCTTGGTGAGGCTGGCAGGTTGAAGAAATGGCTGAAACCAGGTAGCATATCATTTATGAGAAACATTTCTATTTGACATAGATGTCTCATTCTGAATTATATATTAGAGTTTTATTGTGCTTCCTTCACTGCCCTTCTGTTTTACTGATCTTCCATTTAAAATGCACAAATGACTTGATATTTACACTTGTATTTACACTGATATTCTGTCTAACAGTAACTGATACTAATGCAATAAAGAATTAATTTCATTACTCAAGTAATTTTGAATAAACTTTAATATTCAGGTACAACTCCATCAGAAAAAGCTGAACAGTTGATCAGAGATAAGAATCTATGCAAAAATATCCAGAAGCCGAGTCCTTATCACCAAACCTCTAATGTTGAGGCTTTCCATTCTCTTATCCTGCATTTTTGTCCTAAAATGACTGCCTTCAGTTTTAAAGGAATGTTATGCAGGTTAGTTTTAGGAATGTTATTACTGATATTGTTGCAATTTGGATAAAAATGCATTACATATATTTGATCTGGAAAATACTTCAAGAGTTGTAACAGTGACAAACATGGAAAGTAATCTCAGCACTTTTGTATCACATTTACAGACTGCTTTTAGCTGCTCTGCATTACAACGAAAATAGTGACAGGCAACAAGCAACAGCAAGTGATGGAAAACCAGCCTTTGTAATCAAATATCCGAAGTACAAAAAAGGTGGCTACATTGTTAGAGCAAAGAAAACTCCACCAACATATGGTAAGCAGTAACATTACACAACTGATTGCAGTGTTTTTATTCCTTTACCACATAATCTTATCAAGGTTGACAAAATATGAAACTTTGCTGTATACTTTTCTGAAAAGTGAGCACTTGCCATATATTACTATTATTTGTATGTGCTATTAGAGAAATTGATCTGATTATTATGATTAGCAACATAAAACTGCTTGCAAACTTGAATATTTTACTTTAATTTTACTTTCTCTCAAAAGCCTACTCCAAAAATATATGTTGTTAAGTATTTTATTCTATTGATGGTATTTTTTCAGAATACATTGAAACATTGATGAAGACATTGTGTGACCAAGTCATATTTAATAGCACCCTATTTCAAGAAGAAATTGCTAGCATAATACAGCCAGGTCCAATGTGTGAAAATTACGAGCACCCTCCTCATGAAGAAGCTACTGCTCAGTATTACAAACGCTTTAACATTTGAACGGAGAGTGGCCAAATTCTGTCATTGGCAGAATCTGGAATGGGGAAATGGACACCTCCATGCCTCCACTTGTCTGGGTGTTCACCTTGGGAAAGTGATAGCACACCTTTATCCTCCCTGCCAGGGTAACGGTGCAAATGCAAGATGAACAAGAAGACAAAAAATATGTTTAAACCCAACTGGATCATGATCAATTCATTTTTCACTACTTACAACAAGATTTACATTCTTACCATATTTTCCTATAAATCCTACTCTTTTGAACAGGAGAGTATAAATTTATGTTGACAAAATGTTCTTGTATTAATCATAGAATCTTAATGTTTAATTTTATAAGAATTAATTACATGAATAAGAAATGGTTTTCACGCAATTTTGTATCATGTCAGGATGGATGGTGGGAAGGGTGGGGGTTTTGCTAAGTTTTGGAAAAAACATGCACAAATGTGACTAGACATTCAATTCCAACAAGGGCCAAAATTAATTTATTCAAACAATGTCTTGCGTAGCCTATGCTTTTTCTCATTTGCCACTTGTTGGTGTTACAGGAGGAAGATGATAATTACTTGTAAAGCATTTTGGCCCTTACAAGAGAAAAACTAAGCATTGCACTATTGCCAAAATAATATCCCTGTCAGGCTGTATTTGGATATATACCTTCACAATGACTAACTATTAACTTAATTCCTACCACATAACCCCCCCCCCCCCAACTTCAAATATTTTAACTTTTAAACCCTACAAACTCATATGCTGCAAAATCTTCTTCATTTCCAGGTGGAGGAAAATGTGCTCGGATACAACAGACAGCACAAGCAGGCAGGACAACCCGTACCTCCCGACCAAGAAAGCCCCAGCACCACCTGGCAAGCTGACGATATGCAACATGCCTGTTTTTTTTATGCTGTGGACCTTCATAATGATCATTGTACTGGGCACTATACTGATAAAATGCAGTTTGCAGAACCCATTTATTCAGGCAAACAGCACGGAGAGCATCAGTATCTGTAATGCAGCTGCTCCTGTCATTCCCTTGATCACATTCGCCGATTTCTTCAAGCTTCTGACTGACTTCTGGGATTTCCTGGCAGCAGATGCATTCGTTGGCTTTTGGCATGATCTGACAGTGACCACAAGAACACCTAGAAATTGCAATTTTATTAATGACAAAGGACTTTTTTAAAACTCTTTCTCAATGTAAAACTCTTTCCCCTCTTTGATATGGCTTTTTAATTAGTTGTGTTATCACCTTTGATTGCAAAAGTGAAGGGAGGGGCAGTTAATTTGTAAGCAGATCAGAGAAGAAACTTAAAGTCAATAAATTGGCATCTTTCCAGAGGGGAGATAAACAGGAAAAAATCTATATTCTAAGGTCTTGGTAAAGACTTGCCCTGAAATTCTTTTATAATAGAATCCTTGGTCGAAGCTTCCTTATAGTTTGGTCAAAGTCTTGTGCTTACAGGTTTTTGTTGGGTAAAGTCTGCAGCTTATTTGGTTCGTGATAGTGTATTTACACTTTGTCTGAGCATGAAAAAAGGAAGGCATCTGTGCTGTTTAGAAGATGGGATTAACTTTCAATTGAACAAGTTAACATGATTTCGAGGTGGATGGTATCAAAATAATTTTCAATTGCAAATTTTCATGTCAGTAATCTAAGTAAACTAAAAATGTTTTCATTTATCAACATTTTGAATTATGCTTGTTTATTTAATGACTCTTGCTTCTTAGGTATGTAAAACAAATCTTCCTTTTTTGGTATTCAAGTATTTTTAATTCAAAAGCACTTCAGGAATTTGCACACCCTAAAACTTTAAATTCCTAAGTTATAATCAAAAAAGTAGCCTTGCCACCTATAGCCTAGATTTACAGTAGTATCCACCTGAAGAGGTGCTGTCCTAAATACTTTGGAAGGGGGCTCTGCTGTAGGCAAATCACAAGACTCTCTGTGGTATGTAGAACTTATTCAAACTATTTGATGACACAATAAGACTGATAAGAATTGCTTATTAATGAGGAATCTGTAGTATAAAGGGTTGCCATCACAGAATTTGTCCAACCAAATTTGATCCCCCCAAACAAAAATCTGTTAGAATTTTAACAAGGTGGCTGAGCCCCCACCCCACCCCATCCACGTCAACACTGTCCCTCTGGGATAGGCAAATGGTATCAAATGAGTCTGAGACTTGTGATAAGGAGAAATGGGCCAAAAGCTAGCAAGGAAATGCTTATTTCATACGTGTTTGGAAAAGTTTGCAAGGAAATGGCTGCAGTGCTAAAAAGTGATCTGTATCTATCCAAAGCACTCTCTTTTAATGAAATTAATAGTCATTTTATTTGTTAGTCTTGTATTAAAACTTACCAAGATAAATCTTGAAGTCTGCCAACATCAACGTTGCCACTGTCTCTCATGTCCGTATTTGAGTCCGTGTTCGTGTTTAACTCTTCTTCCCGATATTCTGGCTCAAATTGGTAAGGTAACACCTTTCCATCTTGAGTCAGAATATCTGGAGAGCCACGAGAATCATCATCTGCTGATAGGGAATCTGGATAAAAGTCCGACATTCCGAGGCAAACACTCGAACAGAAACTTTCCGTGTCGCTTGAAGTGCTGTCTTCCATTTTGAAACTTTTCGTACACGCTTTGGACAGCCGATGATCCTACCGTGAATTTAACCGAGGCCGAAAATCTGTGTGACGTCAATCCGAAGTGCTCCGATAATGGCGTTCAAAAACAATTCAACTCAACGACCAATATACAAATGCTTATAACTACAAAACGGTAAGAGATATGAAAAAAATAATAGCAGATCCGTTTTCAGGAGGCCAGATTACATCGTAATCGAAAATAAAAATTTTGGGCTGGAGTGGCCCTTTAACTGGTATCAAGACAAGATGCGAGAACATTTGCTGCAATGCTTTGAGCAGAAAGTCATAACATTTTCCCCACATTCTAAGAAAACATCACCTTGCAAGAAAGAAGTGTACATGTGCAGCACTTTTTGCATTTGCTTGAAGCACAATTGCTACCATTATGACCAGCCAAGATGCATAGAGTGGTCGGCAAAGCAAGCTGCTGCACTTGTAACTTAATCCTACATCCTACCTGCTTGGGTTTGACTAATTTTGCATTAGCGAAAATGAGTTTATTACTTTTGTGTCAAATTCTGAGCTTTGCTTTTAAATATTTCTTACTTGCATATGTGCCCCAAATCTTAAAACAGGACCGGAGCCTGTCTAACAAAAATTTATTTTAAAATTCGGACGATTGATGCAAGATTCACAGAATCTGTCAGAGAGCCTGCCCAGCGTATCCTCCTTTTTACTTTTTTTTCTCTTAAGCATGATTCCTGTAGCAGAATATCCAAAAATTTCCAAGCATTTAATACATACTGGATCTAACATCAGTTAACCGTCATATATTGTTTCATCAAGTCAGAAACCTCCGCCATTGCATATAACCTCCATCTTATTCCACCTAGTCCTCAGTTTCATAGATGTATGACGTCATGTACGTTAGCTGACTATGATCTAGTGCCAACCCCCTCTGAATGGTCTATTCCAACACCTCTATGGCTGGATGACATTCGTCAGGAGACTGGATATGGGCCAACAAATCTCCCTTTTTTCGAATCTTTACATTTTCTTCATGTATTGGAACAAATTGTATGGCCCTATCTTTCTGGGTCGAATGATTCAAAATGGGCAGATCATATTTTCTCATACAATCATAACAAGAGGAAAAACAGCAAATTAATTTATTTCTATAGCTTTGAGTTCCAAAATCGAGGCACAGTACATATTCATTTCCTTCTCTGTTTGAAAAACATAAAGTATATTGATTATCAACATATAAAAGCAGATTTGCCCAATGATGATCTTCTTCTTTTCTATTTGGTTAAGAAGTGCCAAACTGCTCACAGGTCAAGCTTGCCCATCAGCGAAAATGACACTCATGTTGACGAAAGCAGTCAAGTTCCCGTTCTCAAAATATTGCACCCTCCTTCTGCCCATGCACTAGGTCTGCGTGCATATATAGATACAGTCCTGGCCACCTTCAAATCTTCTATGGATGTACAGACTTCTAATGGCAAGCAGATGCTCATGAAATATGTAACATCTTCTGTTTCCAAAGCAAAAGAATCGTTCCACACTGACGCCTTTTTTCATCTATTTTCATCTAATCCAGGTACTACAGCATTTAAGTATGCCATGTCCTTAGACAGCAGAACCAAAAAAGTGGGTCCCGCTCACGTCCAAAAAACTTTCTTGGACAATTGCCACTGGTAAACAGTTTCCTTTACCGTTGTCACCAGAAGCAGTTCAAAATAATCAGACATTGCTAAAATCTTATGCACAGACCTCAAATTTTGAGACTTTTTCTTTAGCACAATGGTTACGTGTTGCTGACGGGACTCAAGCTGTTCCTACTCAATATAAAAAAGACAAAGTTGTTTTAGTTGGATTGAAGTTTGCATCAATTTTCAATCCTGGATATTTGTTTCAGTACCTTCTTGTACATTTTGCTCATCGAACTTTGGAGCAAATTAATCTTTCTCTTGATCATTCTCTACCATTTCGAATTATTTACTTTCATAAAGCGCATTTATTAATGCAAACCTGTTTCCCAGATGGCTGTTTTTTCTTGCTGCAACTTTGGAGATATATGGACACAAAGAATATTTTCTCAAAACTAATTCTGCATTCGTGGAGAGCTTGATAGACCTTAACAATTCTTATAGACGACAAATCCTTCCATGTGCTTTCAAATCAACACTCCCTGAAGCTCATATTAAACAGGATTTAAACTTGAGAGGCAATCAACTGGCAATCAACAATTATTTCAAGAAAATAGTTGAACAACGAGAACAATATCTTTTTACCAATCGCAATTTCATTGAAAACCCCATTGATTGGAAATGCTTTCCTTCAGTAGTTGGCAAACCTTGAACTGGAAATCTTACACAATTCAGCAAGGTATTCAATTCTGTATTGAGAATAATCTTCCAACTTGTGCTGCCACGCCAGCCGGCACTATGGCATGTACGTACAAAGATTTATATGAGGATAAAGTAAGTAACTTGCGATTCATAGACTCTTCTCTTTCAAATGTCATGCTACCCTGTCTTCATCAATTAACACAATGCTTTATTTGTATGACGTCATATTCATCGATGAAATATACCAAGTTAGCTTTTCCATCATGCTTTACAAGCTAACAACGTTTTGTCTAGACAGCCAATCCTTGTACTTTGTGGAGACTTTTGTCATCAACAGCCTCTTGCTACACGAAACAATAGGACAGTACAAGCAGAAAACATTCTTTCTTGTGTCCACTGCATGTCTTACGTTGTAAAGTTTGCACTTTTACAGCAATTAAGAAAATATCAACCCTCTCGTTAAATGCAGATTGGGCACATCAAATTCTCTATAGAGTGGATGTCATTGGTCGCACAATATCTCCTAGGGTGGCAACAACTGCAAGAATTCCTGTGGCTCCAAGGATACTGAAGGAGAGAAAGCTCGATTTCCAGCGAAGAATAAAAATTTTGCAAGCGAGATACCAGGTATCGGATGAATTGATACTAAATTTTGACCAGACGCCTTTGCCGTATATTTGTGTTTCAAATCATACACTCCATGAAAAAAGGCGCTTCCAGTATACCATTGGTTGGCAAGGGCAAGAAAAAGCAGATCACTGGAACTTTCACTATCACTAAGTCCGGACACTTCTTTCCCATGTAATTAATCTACCAAGGCAAAACTGACAGATGCCTGCCAAAAGATGTTAGTTTTCCTGGTGAATTTGATCTCACATTCACTAAGAATCATTGGAGCAACAAAGAAAAAGCTTTACAGCATCTGACAAAAGTTGTTGAAAAGAAGAAAGCCGAGCTTAATTTGCCTGCTGAGCAAATGTCGTTGTTAATTTTTGATGTCTTCAAGGGTCAGAAAACCCAAAGGTACCAAAATCACCTTGAAAGCAATGGATGCGCACTGGTTTACATTCCGGCAAACTTGACAGATCAGTTCCAACCCTTAGACATCACAGTGAATGGCTCTACTAAAGAGTTTTTAAAAAAGGTATGCGAAAGAAATCTCATCCCAAATTGAAAGTAGAAGGGATGTTTATGAGGTTGAAGTTCCTTTCAAGCTGTAAGCAATGAAGCCTATTTCCGCTAGGTGGCTCCTTGGCTTGTATGAAATGCTCAACTTTGGTGATATGATATGAAAAGGATTCAAAATAGCCGGAATTGATGAAGCTATTATCCTTGAATTTGAGCTAGAAGACCCTTTTGAAGATTTAAATGTTTGAACAAACAAAAGTGCTTATGAATTTTGTGAAATAGTAACACATAAATAAACATAAACAAGAATATTAGTGATTCTGCTTCTTTCCTCTTTTACTTTAGAAAAGTGATTTTGAAAAGGGATTTCGATCCAGAAGATGAATATTTTTAGTAAATCAATGACTGGACATAGTTTTCCTTTCCAGATTCAAAAGACCAGGCAACATTTTGTCTGAAATTTTAATTTGTCTGAAATGCCAAAAGCTTGTCCGAAAATTTTTCCGCCCCAGTTTATTGTCAGAAATTTAATCTGCTGAAAATTTTTTTACTTAATGTATGCTACAACAGTTTCAAAGTTGCAGGGCCAGACATTAAAGAAAGTAACAGTTTGGCTTGACACAGAAACCAATCCTGAGGTTTCTGCCTATGTCGCCTTATCTCGGGTAAAGTCACTAAAAGATTACATTTTCTGACTCCTTAGAACAAAAGACAGTTTAGACCAGTTTCGTAAAGTTACATTAGCTAAACATATACGCTTTAAATTCTCCATTAGGCTTTAAATCATGCAGAATTCTCAACGGTATATAATTCATTATAATTATACGATTATACAATTTGATGTACGATTTTCAAATTCATTAGAAATTTTTCTAAAACTTGCATGGGTTTTTTCCTCTTAGCGTCAGACAACTTACAGTGTCTCTATTTTTTAAAGATGGCCTACACACAATAAAATAAAATCAAGGGAGTTCGTTACTTCAACCATTTCCCAAAAAACTTTTTGAAACTCAAACTCAAAATATTTTTTCCAACATAAAATTGATTAATTACAATATACCGGTTAACATAATTATACTAAATATAAAATATCCAAGTTAATATGGCTAAATAACAATGAATGGTCAATCGCAATATTTTATAGAGAGCAATGAGAATTAAACAATTTTAGGCTGATGGACACATGGAAAGAACTTTGGGCAAGCTATCGAGCCATCTATCCAAATTGACGTGTTTATAATGACGATTTTAAGTTTGAATAATAACAGGATATAACAAGAATAGAATAAAGTAGAACGAAATAAAAATAAGACTGTAATATTGTAATAACAGCTAAGTGCAATTATAAAAAAATCATAAAGTAATCAAGCCTACAAATGTCAAATTTTGTTCGTAAGAAAATATTTCATCTGTTTCACAAAGTGGTGTTTATTATCCATCTTTTTTAACTTTATAGGTAGGGAGTTCCAAAATTTAATACCATCGAAAGTGAGAAAGTTTTTTAAAGTTTGTAGAGATGGATGAAGAGAAAAACCTTCAGAAGAAGATTGCCATGTATTATAATTGTATACATTTTTTGTTTTTACAAACTCGCCTTCAAGAGAAGTTTTGTCAGAGCTAATTTGATATATCATTATCGCCGAGTTGAAGCATATCCACCAGAGCAGGTAGCCCTTTCACGCCAAAGGCCAGAAGGCTGCAAATGGCTTAGAAGGCCCCATGTGGCAACGTCAGAGCTCTGCCCTACAATAACAGGAAATTTGCAAGTTTTACAGAAGCCCAGCCTTTTTCTTGATGAAAGGAAATTATTGGGCTTGACAGAAAACCTACAGCCTGTTCTCTTGGCTCCTTCTCAGAAAGAAAGTGAAATTGTCCCAAGTGGTAAAATCTTCTGTTGGCCATTTTATATCCCGGCAACACACTAGCAGTACAACTTGATCAATGTGTTGAGCTTTGCGCTGCTCTATTTTTGATTGGGGTCAACTTCAAGGTTGCACAGACACTGATTTCAAACCCCAATAATTATGCACATATGAAAACATTCGCACCCAACAAAGAACCAATCTTCAAGACCACCAAAAATATCATTAATTTACTCCCTTTGCTACTTAGCTCCCAACCAACCTCCACCATTTCATCACCCAATGTATTTTCTTTAACTTTACAGCTTCAAACACAGGAAACCACTTATCCCAATACAACATCATTACCAACATAATCGCAACAACTTTCTAGAACAGCTTCAACAGAGTCCTTTACTAACCAACTGTTATCCTAACAACTTTCTACAACCACTTCTGCAGAAACCGTAACAAACCAACTTATATCTTCTTCTTCAAAAATATTTACATTGTTGAGAGATGAATGCATGCCAAAGATTTTTGGGGACCAAGATTTTTTGGGCTGTGAGGGCGTGACAAAGTTTATGTTATAAGACTTAAGTACGGGATTACAACCTTACATTGTCACTGTTACAAAATGTTATAAAAGGTATTCTTCTATAAATTGGCACAAAGTTGTATCTTCATAAGTTGCAAGTATTGTGAAATTTCTGTGTCATTATTCTGAAGGATGTTGCACTCATTGGCCTTACAATGCTATAAGGCTTCAGTATGGGGAAATTTTCATTACTCTCATACTCTAGAAAGATGATCATCAGCGTCATTACAGTTACATTTAACATACAAATTTCTGCCCAGTCAACAACAACATTAAAATTTACTGAGGTGATTTGGACATAGGTTGTAAAAGGTGTCCGAATTCGCCTGCATCACAATACTGTCTGGCTGGCAGGCTATTCTATACAGAAATGATTGAATAAAAAAAGGAAAACCTAACAGCAGCAACCCTTCCGAATTTAGGCATGATCTTCAATGATTTAAAGTTCCTTGTCATTGAACAAGTTGCAAAGTAAAAAATTGCAATTTTGCAAGCATGTTAGGCTAAGTAAGCTTTGCTCAAGTTCCCTTTTTTGTGTCAACATGCTCATTGCACAGTCGACAGGTATGCATTTGACATGAGGAAGGGCCAGGATTTGGATGAATATCCCCACAGATTGATAAAAGTAACAGAATGGGTTTCCTGTATTCTCTTCCCTTGGAAACTATTGGTGAATGAATTGGGAATACTACATAAAAGCCGAAAAGATCATTTGTAAAGCTGCTTTTGGGAGGAATGAAAGTGTTTTCAATCATATAGAAATGCGACGAATAGGAGATTGACACTTGGCTTAGTTGTATGGTCTGAACTTTGACACAGAGCATAAAAGACAATCTGAGCTTGGAGACGTGATTTCTGTGTACAATAGGACCCATTTTACACTGAAAAAGCCTAGATTTGGATGCATTTTGTTTGTAAAGCAATGAAAACTTATTTCGGTTCACCAGTGCATAAATTATCGGAATCTTGTAGAAGAAACTTATTGCATCTAAGATTATATTGTCGGAAATTACCTCAGTAAATAAATAATGCAACATGAAATACAAAGGTGAGGTCCAATGGTATGCCTATGGCTGCCCGCAATATAAACGTTAGTGAATAGTTTAGGCCTGGAAAAAATGTCCTTTTTTATGTAATCTTGATCCATTTGGTTATATAAAATGGCTTAATCCTTAAGAGAGAAAATGTTTGAGTGAGAACAAGCCAAGTCGCGTCTTACCTCAAAGGTGACATCTGACATGGGTAGATGACACCTATCTCAATAATTACCACCTGATGTAGTAGTCCTTAATTGCTAGCTATCATCACACAAGGCTATCTGCCATCAATTTCAAGGAGTTTTTGTAAATCTCTCAATCAACTTTATTAGGATTAAGTATGGAATAAAATTCTTTTTTTTCTAAATAAATATTTTTCATGAAAAAGAATCCAGCGTATTGACATTGTTGAGAAATGAATTCATGCCAAAGATTTTTAGAGTCAAGGTTACGGTTAGGCTGTAAGGGCATGGCAAAGTTTCTGTTATAAGGCTTAAAACTCTGGGAACATAATTTCACTGTATCATTGTTGCAATATTGTATAAGGAATTCCTTTCCAACTTCGTACAAAGTTGTATCTTGGTCATTTGATAGTCTCGTGATTTTTTTGAGTCATTATCTACAAGGATGTCTGACTTACAGGCCTTTCAATGATATGAGGGTTCAGTACTGAAATCGATCAAAATTCATGACGTCACAGGTCCACGCCCATAGTTCTGATTTCAATTTTCTTCTTGCAATACTTATTTCTTCTGATTATGTATCTATGTGTCAATTTTCAAGACAATATCTCTTCTACTTTTCCATTTGCACTTCTTCTTTTCTAGGATCTGCCATTATGGTGATTAGTCTGCCATTATGGTGATTAGTTAGCCATTCTAGAAATTAAGGTGTGTCAGCGGTTTTTGTGCTAATATCTCCTTCAATATTTATCCAAACCAGTCACATGTATATATCATTAGAAAGAGCAGAAACTGCTCTATCTAATGGTGTCAAGCTTTTCACATTTCCTATCTTTTTAAGAAATGTTATTTGACCTTACTTGTTTTTGTCAAACATTGTGTACAAAATTATCTGTTAACAGTTCTTCTTTCTCAGCTCACTTACTTGCAGCTAGCGAACGGTCCTGAATTTTCTTCTGATCATGGTAAAACAAATTTCACGTTGATAATAAAGTGTTAAAGCATAATACAATAATATTTCAAGTTTTAGCTTCTAAATTCATTATTCCGATTGTTTCATTTAAAGTTTATTTGTTTTCTATACTTTGAAGATCGATAATCTTTCATTTCAATCAATTTTAGCAACTGACATGTTTTGTTTAGTTGTCATTTATAAATGATAATTTCTTTGATTTGCTTAATTACTGTTTCCCCTTTTCTTATAGATGCCTCAAGGATTCTTTCATCTTAAAGAAATATACTTCCCGAGAAAGACACTGTAAGTACCTTTATTTGTTTATCTTCAAAACATTTATTCCTTGGAGATTCTCTTTTGCTGAATGAAAGGAATTATTTGTCAAAAAGTAACATTCCTTTTAATTTATGTTACACACTTCTCTCTGTTATTATGCCTATTCCATGGAGTTAAGATGTTGCACACTCTTACTGGAAAGAACAAGATAAGACAGAATTAGAAACTATTCACTCCCAGCTACACCTTACAGATTGCATACCTTCCTTCCCACATTCTCCTGTTCCTTCCTTGGAACGCTGGTGCAAAACTCTCTCTTGGAGCAAATGTGAAAGCTGTAATAGCATAATAGCTGAGAAACTGTTGCCAAGTTTTATTAAGCCCCAAAAATCAGAAGCCAATCTGCAATACCAGTGTCGCAATGACAGATTTATTGTACATGTTTTTCAGAATATTCCAGTCCAACTAAGATCCTTGACAGAGGTTCACATTGAAGCTCTGAGACCATGTACAACAGCCCTCCACTTTCCTCTTTCCATTCCGTCTTCATCCTACTAAAAATATTTCAATACAAGGGAAGATTTGCATTGTGCTAAAGCAGAACCAACTATTGTTTATGTGTACAAATGGGATGGCATTGAATGTGCATTATGGCCAAACCTATACCCTTGCACATCTTGGTGTGACACAATACATGACGGCTCTTCTGACTGGAAAAGTTACAAAATTTATTTTTTATTTAAATATCTTTCACCAATGATTGACCATACATTACATTTTGAGTTACTTCTATTTCAATTCGACTGTTGGCTGTACAAAACTATTACTGGTGCTATTTATTCATTGCGTAATACTGCAAATCAGCCAATGACTTTCTTTCAAGCATTACAAGATATGCCATTTTCTAAAGGCTATTGGGACTGGCAGTATCGCTTTTTAATTGATGCGGTCCAGCAATTTAGCTTTCCAGCACTGTTTATTACAATAAATCCTACAGAATGGTCCTTTCCTGTTCCTTGAGGACATTTGTGAAAAAACTGGGCATGGACCAACAACTCTTCTTTTTACGAAACTATTAATTTTCTTCATGTCTTAGAGCAAGTTGTGCGTGGCTTCCTGTGTGGTTCAAACGACAGCAAATGGTCGCATCAGATCTTGTCTTATAACAATAATAGAAGCAAAACCAACATCATGACAAACCTTTATCGCTTTGAATTTCAAAAACGTTGAACTCTACACCAACATTTCCCTATCTGGCTCAAAAATATAAAGTGCATTAACTATTATGGTACTCCTGCTGATATAGATGAAGTAAGCAGTGTACCCCTACTTAAAATGTCATATCCCTCATCTGTCCAAGGCATCGATGTTCAAGGCTACATTGGCACCATACTCTCTTCTTTGAAGTCCAATATTGATGCACAGACAATCAATGGAAAGAAAATGCTAATGAGGTATGTTTCATCATATGTCACCAAAAGCCAGGAATCGATTCACACAGATACACTGTATACTTCCACATTATCCCCAGCTACTACTGCTTTCAAGTATTCAATGTTATGAGACATAGCATAACCTGAAATGTGGGTTCTTTTAACCTCCAGAAACCTCGCAAACAATATCCCATCTCTCTATCAGCAGATGAAAGTTTACCTCTTCTTGACTGGCTTCACATTGTCAATGAAACAGAAGGTGTTCCCACTCGATATGCAGAAAATAATGTTGTATTGGTCGAATTAAGGTTTTGCTCTATCTTGCATATTTCTGCCAATATCTTTTTTTACACTCTCCAACAGACATTTACAAGACATCTGTCCTCCAACTGGTCATTCCCTTCCTTCAAAAATCATTTTTTTCCACAAAGCACATCTGCTTATGGCAACAACTTTCAATGATGTCTCATTTTAGGACATGAGAGAACAACTTGTTAATTCTCGTCAAGAGCCATCTCTGTTTAGGCGGGTTTACACGATCGTTTTTCCTTAAATTTTTTTCGAAATACCCTCTCAAAGATTTGAGCTTTCTAGTGATTTCCTTCAGACTGGGTAGAGGAGAGAATCCTTCTTCTTCAATTTTATTTGACACACGTTGAACTGCAATTCGCCTTTTATCCTTCAAATGGTACTCTGGGTGCGATACATCATACAAAACCGGTTCATCTTGCCAATCATTTATAACAGCTTCGACCAAGTTGTCAGGCCATTCAAATTTTGCTTGCTGTTTCTTTTTTGACAATTGTGAAGTTGTTTCTTTCGCTTTATTCTAATTTTCGTTTCGTGCTTCGGGGGTCATCGGGTCACTCTCCGAGCGTCTTTCAGCTTCAGTTCTACAAATATTTGATTAGCAAATATTGATTGTAACGGAATTATCATTCTAGATCACAAACAAACATAACATGATATTACCGTGGTAAATTTTCACTGTTTAACTGCCCGATTCACTTAAGATGCCTGTTTCTAACTTACTAACTAAGTAGCTAAATCGTAAGTGGCTTACAGTGAATATTCTATTAAATCAAAGCAATCCTAGCTAACAGTTTGGTGCAAAATGATGAAAGTGGCATTTTAAGATCTCTCACCTTTTGCTATTATCCATTTGTTGCATAAACTCTTGGAAATGTCTTCGTGTATACTCGTCCATCTTTAGTCTTCTTGCAAAACACTGACACAACCCCTTTTAGTATGCTCTAAGTATCGGTTTAGTCAATTTTAGCTATATCGAAGGTGAATTGAAAACGATTGATGCCATTTATATAGTAAACTACAAGGAATGTGAAACAAGAATTGGAAACAAGGGTTACATGTATCCAGGAATTTGTACAATGGGTATTTGCGTCAGCGAAATGAGGCATCACCAACAAGGAGCTGCAAAAACAAAAAGGGGAAGCGGTGTAGATGACGAAATCGAAAAGGGTAGGCTGAGGCAAATCAAGGAACTCGAAATAGGAACTTAAACTGGTACAAAGAAAACTTAATAGCCGAAATTGCATCGATAGCTGGGTGGGAAGAATGGTAGGCGTTGTAGCTATCACTACCTAATCAAACAAGGAATTGTTGACGCAAATAATGTTGACGCAATTGCAAAAGTCCGTCACAGATTCCTCATTTTGTTTCCTTTGGTTTTAAGTTCCTCAATGCTCCTCGTGATCTATAAAATTTTCCATCTATACTCGCTAAATCCACACATCTGTGTTCGAAAAACATGGACGACATGGAGACTGATGCAGCTTGCGCGATGTTAATTGTCTGCGCTTTAAGAATGAAAAGGAAAAAAATACGCAAGGTTTGGTGTAAAGAATGGCTTCAGAAAAGAGAAGACACGAGCTTACATACTGGGCTTGTTAGCAAACTCAGGTTGGCTGACAGAGAAGATTATCGGCGCTTCATGAGAATGAATACCACAACATTTGAGGTAAGGCCTGTTTATTAATTTTCGTTACTAAATCACAAATGTAACAGCTCACAGAACAAGTGGTAACACATCTTTTTATCATGTATCTAACCACCACAGTATTGCAGGTAAAAGCCTTTAGATGAAAGCCATTTTTTATTTGATCTCATTTTTTTCAACACGATTTTATTTGAATTTAGAGATTAGTAAATGTATTTTCTTTCGTTATTTGAAGGAACTGCTGTTTAAAGTTCGTCCGTACAATGAAGGACAGACAACTCACATGAGACAACCAATCAGCGCTGAAGAGAAACTGGCAGTGACGTTAAGATTTCTGGCAACAGGTGAAACATATCAGAGTTTGAAGTACCAGTTCAGGATTCATAACAGCACCATAAGTTTATTTGTGCCTAAAGTGTGCCAGGTCATCTATGACGTTCTGAAAGATGACTATTTTTCAGTACCATCATCAGAACAAGAATGGATAAATCTTGCCGATGCTACCGAGAAGAGATGGCAATTTCCGAATGCTTTTGCAGCAGCAGACGGGAAGCACATAGCAGTTTACCATCCAGATAATTCAGGAGGGACCTTTTATAATTACAAAGGATTCTACAGCATAGTTTTACTAGCTTTTGTGGACTATGACTATAAGTTCATATATGCAGATGTCGGTTGCCAAGGTAGGATAAGTGATGGTGGTGTGTACCGAAACTCTTCGTTTTCCGAGAAACTTTCTGCAATTGAACTCAATTTACCACCCGCCAGGCCTTTACCAAGATCCAGAAATCCTGCCTGGACGCCTTACGAAAACGAAGAGGACATTCCGTTTGTTTTTGTTGCAGACAGTGCATTCTCGTTGTCAAAACACTGCATGAAACCGTATGCTGAAAAGGGGTGTGACGATAAGAGGCGAATCTTCAACTACAGACTACGTGATTGATGGGTGATGGAGGGAGGGTAACACTGTTTCTTTTCTGGAACCTTTACCCGCTAGACTAAAGGGTAATAAGCCTAAAGTTTCAGCCGAAAAAATTAGGGAAATATTCGCAGAACATTTTTATGGTCCCGGCGAGGAACAGATAGGAAAAATGTCTGCCGCTGGTCAGAGCGTCGTGGGCTTATGCGCACATTTGCGGGCTCTTCAATATCTGACATGTGCTCGGTAAAATCAGGGAGGCGAAGATGAAACTGTAAGTGCTTACAAAAAGAAACAAAGAAAACTCTGCAAACAATATTAACGAAATTTACAAGGTGAGACTTGAATAATGGCAGAAATTCATCAACTAGCCATAACATTTTTGTCATACACGATGCAAAATTGAATTGTGCAAAGTTAGCAGGGCATTCTATGGCACTTGTAAACTCAACTGATTAGGAACTAAAACTACAATTATATCTCAAAATCGGCACTTTGCAATGCTTAGATATTTGAACTAAGGCAATGTGAATTGCTGACGACGACAAGGGTTGTATGCTTGTAAGTGGGAAAATATTCCTCTGCAGGCTACAACATTTCTTTTACGGGGGTTGAAAAATTGAATTCTGCAAAGTTAGCATGGCGTTCTACGGCACTTGTAAACTCAACTGATTAGGAACTAAAACTACAATTATATCTCAAAATCGGCACTTTACAATGCTTAGATATTTGAACTAAGGCAATGTGAATTGCTGACGACGACAAGGGTTGTATGCTTGTAAGTAGGAAAATATTCCTCTGCAGGCTACAACATTTCTTTTACGGGGGTTGAAAAATTGAATTGTGCAAAGTTAGCATGGCGTTCTACGGCACTTGTAAACTCAACTGATTAAGAACTAAAACTACGATTATATCTCAAAATCGGCACTTTGCAATGCTTAGATATTTGAACTAAGGCAATGTGAATTGCTGATGACGACAAGGCTTGTATGCTTGTAAGTGGGAAAATATTCCTCTGCAGGCTACAACATTTCTTTTACGGGGGTTGAAAAATTGAATTGTGCAAAGTTAGCAGGGCATTCTACGGCACTTGTAAACTCAACTGATTAGGAACTAAAACTACAATTATATCTCAAAATCGGCACTTTGCAATGCTTAGATATTTGAACTAAGGCAATGTGAATTGCTGACGACGACAAGGCTTGTATGCTTGTAAGTGGGAAAATATTCCTCTGCAGGCTACAACATTTCTTTTACGGGGGTTGAAAAATTGAATTGTGCAAAGTTAGCAGGGCATTCTACGGCACTTGTAAACTCAACTGATTAGGAACTAAAACTACAATTATATCTCAAAATCGGCACTTTGCAATGCTTAGATATTTGAATTAAGGCAATGTGAATTGCTGACGACGACAAGGCTTGTATGCTTGTAAGTGGGAAAATATTCCTCTGCAGGCTACAACATTTCTTTTACGGGGGTTGAAAAATTGAATTGTGCAAAGTTAGCATGGCGTTCTACGGCACTTTAAACTCAACTGATTAGGAACTGAACTTAAATTTATTTCTTATATGGTTCTAAGTAAACTAAGTTACTTCCTTCTACTCCATAGCCATAAAAACGTTTGCAAACCGTGTCTAAATATTTACAGAAATCGTTGATGTAGTCCTGCGAGGTAAAGGCAATTAAAGCGCCTCTGTCTAAATGACGGTGGCTGTCAAAGACCCAAATTCTGTCATTGTAAACGCATAATGACATAGCCTTGTCTGGATAAACGATGAGCACGCAACCGAGATTTGATGTGGTTTCCAACAGCGATTTCAAGTTCGTTTCGAGATGTTCCCTATTCAGAATTGGTATCATTGGTTGAGGCATATAAATTTCGACGTCGGAGTTTTCAAGTACCTCTTCAACCATCAAGTTTGGAGAATCATCTGAAGAATTAACGAACTCATAGAGGATGTTTCCCTCTGCTATTATACCACAGTAGCGGCCTATCAATTCGTCGACATCATCAGTCACTGAAGGTGACAAGAAAGATTGCTCCAATGTTGCTTTGCATGTCAAAACAGAGATTGCTGTGCAAGAATTTGACCCTGTTCCATAGCCTTTTACTCCAACTTGTGACGCTTCTGGTGGTAAAAGATGCTCAGTAATGTGTCCAAGCTTGGTTGTGGTACTTTTGCGATCTTTGTGGACATTCTTTCCTTTCCCCTCGAATTCTTTTAGTGGATCAGTATGCCAATCACAGTTGCAGGTAACGGTTTTGCCAGCAATGCTGCAGGTACCTCCTTGGCAGAAAAGGCAACACTCTAATCCTCCTTGGTTGGCCTTTTTGTGTCCCTTTTTCGCATGACCACATTTCTTACAATGCGGAGGTTTTTTTTCTCTATGGAGTGGAGTAAAAACAGCAGCAGAATTGTCATGTGGGCTTTGTGGCTGAAAACTTTCGATCGATTCGGTAAGTTTATCTATATCATTGCTTAAAACTTCGCAAAATTTTATATCTTCTGCATCCAAATCACTAGCATCATATCTTTCCTCCACTATTTCGGAAGCATTTAGCTGCACAGTTGGAAGATCTTTTCTTTTGTTACTATTTATTCCATTTATTATTGAAGTTGATAGTCTTTCTATTTCCTTCTTTATACAGGCTCTACAAATCGGACAATATGTCACATCATTCAGGCATCTTATATGGTATGAATGGCCACACCTTTCAATCATCGCCCATTCTTCGTCTGCTTCTTGAAGATTGCAAGCAGGAAGGTCACAAAAGCGATTAGGATTTGGTTTCCATTCCGTGTGGTAACCAAAAGGAAAGGAATTTATTTTGGTGTCGGTTGAGTAGAATGCTTTCAGCATATTATCTAAAGGATTGTCTTCAAAATTTGGTGAGGAACTTAGAGAAGATATTCTTGAAAACATTTTCGTGAGATGAGTTGCAGCTGATAGTTTGAGAGATTTTAACTGATTATGGCTAAATGACGATTTCTTTGGAGGGGTAAAGGAACTTCTAAAATTATGCTGTGACTTTTTAGACTGGAATACTGCCATAGCTTTTCTCTTTAGTGTTGACGGATCATCCCCATCTTTTGTTTGAGCGCGAATAATTGAATGAGCGTTTTCTACGCCATACTCGTCAGATATGTTCAAAAAGTTTCTAAAACAGTTGAACATATCGAAATTGTCATTTTACCATGGAAGGATATTAGACAACCAAATCAATGTTGCTTTGTCATAGTGGCGTCGCTTGAAGCAATAGAACATGATCCACACAAACTTTATTGCAAGAAAATATGCAGCGAAATTATTAGAACGAAATGTAATGCTGTAAATAGAGAGAACTAAGGGAATATAACTGTCTAAAAGATTAAGAAATGTGGCATAAAGTGGGTGTTTGCACTTGGAGAATTTCGTCTTGATTTGTGAACGAATTTCAAGGATTTCACTTCTCTTTCTCTTACTATTTCAAGGATCAGTGATGTTCTCCAAGGCTTAGGTTTTTCAGCGAGTTTACTGTGAGGAAAAACCAGTTCATAAATATACTTGAAAAATAAATGGAAATTAATCATCACATCCTCTCGGGCATTTAATGATACGTGCAGCGGTCCAAGCATCGGTACTGCAGATTGCAAAGGGTTGGTAAAAGCTGACCCGTGAACATCTTTATGGTTATTGTTAAATGCATAGTCATGGTGGACTGGAAACTGGTTTTGAATAAAGCTTTTTTCAACCTTGGAACTATTTTTCGAATTCAGAGAAGAGTATACGGTCTGGCGGATGTAAAACTGCGCTGGCCAATCTCCTGGGACTACAACTGCATATCTAGACATGTACTCTTTAATGGCAGAGTTCATCACACTCTTAAGTGCCTCCTCGAAATTTTCTCTACTTTTCAGTGGCTGTTCAAAAAAAGCAATAAATACAAATTGTCGAGGCATCGCATTTTTCTGACGTTCTCAGAACTATGGTATTGATGGACATTCAGTCGGTGGCGCTCGTGCTCTGGATCGAAGAAAGTGTTCTTTAGCCATTCTGGCATACAGCTCGCGTAAGTTTGGCTAAAGGCATGCATTGACGCAAGTGATGTCATGTTTTTTATCAAAACTTCAGTTCCAATACCGTCTGGGTGATGGAGTTCTTCGGTGGATTTTAAGGGAATGGCAGGGATATTCGGAAAAATTCTACAGACTATGGTGCACATATTAATGGAAGAAGATGTTTGCTGGTTTGTTGGACGACGGGTCGAATGAACACATGTATAATCGTCAATTATAAATATCAATAGCCACTTGTTTTCTATAGCGTTTTTAACAGCTGCATTAACAGTTTCTCTATTAGTATTTGACAATCTTGAAATTTCGCTGGACAATGTTTTATGACAAACCGAATTCCCAAGATTAAACTCGGTATCTATACCCTCTTGAGTCAAATGGCTGAATTTAAAATATATTCCATGATCTTTTTGCATGTAATTACATTTTTGGCTTTTACAATAGCACATTTTATAAATTATTTCTAATGTTCGAAATTCTTGAGAACGCCTTTTCGATATAGATTGTCGACTGTTTGTTAAAGAACCAAGAATGTTGTCAAATATTGTATGTGCACCGTTATCTTTACAAAATCTTCTAAACGCTCTTGGGTCGTAAATAATTTGTTGCCGTTCTTTGCCGAATGTGCGATGCATTGCATGTTTTAGTTTATCGATTTCGATTTTCAGGTCTGTACCTAGAGCAAAATAAAACAAATTTAATATTGTTTTCAGTTTAGTGAATCGTTATAGTTTATTGAAATGCTTATTATCGTATTATTGCAGGGATGCTTAACTTTGCAGACGGAAACCCCCTTGTTGCTCAAAATATATGAAACCTTTAATGTGCCATTATGAATTTTACTGACTTTTAAAAAAATTAGCAACAATTGAAAAACAGTCTCCACCAATCAAACCTCTCCAATTTTTACAAGCTGTTGGTTGAGACCACGCTTTCAGTTCATAATCCATGCACAAGAAACAAACGTACATAAACGGAAGCTAAGGTGATGGTCAGGCTGAGTCAAGATTTGATGGACTCACTTTATCGTGTTTATAAGCTGCTGAAAGCCTATAAACTGGTTGATATAAAAACATGTTGGATTCGAAACATTTCACTGCAGACAAAGAAATGCTTTGGTTTTGTGAGTTTTGAGCAGCATATATTCAAGCTAGTTTATCTAGATTCTTTTTGGAATCTGCCAAAATATTTGATGTTTTTTATTTTAGCTGATATTTACAAAGTAATCATTAACTCATTACGTACGTTTTGACATGTAATCAAATTTGGATTCAAATTCATCCAAAGCACACTGTTCCAGAAGAACCTGACCAGATGGACCGACAAGTACATCTCCAAAAGGCCTGTGCTCCTTTTTCCAATTTGTTATGTCAATTAAAACAGATTTTTTGGTTTTCGTTTCATGGACTTGACGCTGAGTGCTAACTTCGTTTTCAACAGCGACGCCAAATGTGCGCTTTCTTTTCCTTCCTTTATTTCCTCCGCTCTGTACAACTTTCTGATTCATGGAAGAAATCAACATAGGCATTAGGATTCACACTTTGTATTTTGAATTTTTTTAAATACTGTGTAGGCATAGATACTCTATACATTAAGATACACAAAGCCTTTGAATATCGTAAATGTCAAAAATTAGTTTAACTGGAAATCGTTTTTGGAGATATGGAATACTGTTGTGTTTTATTATTTTATGTATTTGCAGTTATATTGTACTCCTAGTGAAACATTTCGCCAGCAAAATGGAGGAAACTTGTTTGGTACTTACCAGTGAAACCTTTCCACTTTCACGCCATCGATAAACATCCCGAAAACAACTTGAACATAGATCACCTTGACTTATTTCTCTTCCAAAGCAGCTCCTTAACTCATTAACTGAAAAATTGCTTGTTTTCTTGAAATTTACGTCACGTTGCCATATTTTTCCACAACCAGCACAACCACAATCAGATTTAAAAATTTTTATATTAAAAACAAAAGGTGGAACTGAAAAAACAAACAAAACGAAGAAATGTATGAACTTTAAAGACATTTTCGATGCCTTTGAAACTATTAGCAATTATCTAAAAATTATCTCCTTGTTTTACTCTCCTACACTTCTATTTCCTTTTTCCACCTTTGCTCAAAAGTAAACATAATAAAATTTTTCATGGTTTCATTGTTGCGTAGATACAATTTCATAATGGCGGCAACTTTTCATAATGGCGCATTTCGCAATAAACAAGGTCCCTGGGTCCGTGTGTCTCGGTGCCCTGTGGTTACTTTGCGCATGGCAAGTACATTTTTCCTATCTGTTCCGGCGAGGTCCCTTGGCAATGGAGGTGCCTAGTATGAGTATGCCTAGTTATTATTAGTGCAGTAGCAAGAAAAATCATGTTATAATTTTTTATTTGTGCATTTTGTCTATTGGATGGATTTTTCTCTATTTCTGTTGCTCAAAATCTTTTAATGTGTAGCTAATGACAGGCCATTCTCAAAGAAAACTTGTGAGACCCGAACCTCTTTTTATCTAAAAATAGTTTAAACTACCTTCCCGGTCTATTTTAGTTCTCAGAGCATGAATCTAATCATTTCTTCACGCGAATACTTAGTAAAAAGTCTCGAAATTCTCTCCCCGAGGCTGACATGCCATCAGAATTTGTCGGCCCCTTTAAAAAAAATGATGGTAGAGATTTTATTTTGACCCGGAGTCAAAATAAAATCTTCAACGATGGATCATTATCACCAATTAAGCAGATTAAACACGACAGATAGCATCAAACTTTTTTCAGCAATGTAGCCTTTACACGATCGTTGTCGTTCCTCGCGGTCCAATATCGAAAAAAAATTTAAGGAAAAACTATCGTGTAAACCTGCCTTTTGATGTATATAGGTGGGATCGTATCGAATGTGCACTCTGGCCACACTTGTATCTCTTCACCTTCTGGTGCAACACCATTCATGATAGCTTCTTAGACAGACAAAGTCGTAAAATATCGTTTTTAACCAAATGCTCTTCCTCTATAATTGATTATTCACTGAACTTTGATTTGCTATTATTCCACTCTGATCCCTAGCTGTAGAAAACGAGCACCGGTGCCATTCAAGCTTCTCGTAATAATACTGAAGAGACAGCCTCTGCATTTCAAGCACTGCAAGATAAGTCTTTCTCTAAAGGCTACTGGGTTTGGCAACATCGCTATTCAATCGATGATTTGCCTCAGTTTGGCCTACCCTCGTTGTTTATAACCATAAGTCCTTCGGAATGGAACTTTCCACTTCCACTCTGGCTTGAGGACATTTGTGAACAAACGGGATACGGCCCTACCAACCTCACTTTTTTGAGACTATACATTTCCTTCATGTATTGGAAGAGATTGTACGGGCGCGCTATGAGGATCAAATGACTCAACTTGGATAAATCACCTCCTCTCTTATAATCATTCTAAAAAACAAGAAATATCAAAACATACTTTTATCTCTTTGAATTTCAACAGCCTGGAACATTGCATATACATTGTCTCATCTGGTTGAAAAATTTCAACTACATTGAATACAAGCATATTCGAGGTGATTTGCCACAGGATGACCCAGACCTTCTCTACTACGTACCCAAATGCCAAGTTGCAAATAAATCGAGTTTGCCCATAAGTGCTCTGAATACACATGTTGATAATAGTGAACATTTCATATAATATGATCCGGTCACTTTGCCATAGTCAAGTATTATTTGATAGCATTCCGGCCACTCATGATTTGCACAATAAATTGAAAAATTATCCTGACTCTCTCGTCTTCACAGTCACACGGCAAACTGCAGCCCACATTAATGACATCATTCTGAAACATATCTTCACAAACCATCCCCTTGCTTTAGTTGTTGCAGATGATGAGAGTTTACTTCCAGTGTATAAAGACATGAAACTTATGATCACTCGTAATGTCAATAAGTCCATTGGCTTTGTCAATGGACAGTCTGTTACAGTGACAGCCATCTCATCCAAAACAATTATTGCCACTCACCCCAATGGTCACATCATCAACATATTTCCTATGACAAGCATCATCAACGACACTCAAACAACAAAATACCCTGTTCTCCCAGGCTACGCAACCACGATATCTGAAGCCCAAGGGCAGACATTAAGTAAAGTTATTTATTATGGCTCGATACTGACAGCACTCCCAAGGGAACAGCATATGTTGCATTGTCCAGAGTTAAATCGTTGACAGATCTTCTTTTTTCATTCCTTTATCACAAAACCAGTTTTTTCCCTGTTGCCAATTAAATTTTTTTCATTTTGTAGATGGCTTACATTCATGCAAAGAAGCTTAAGGGAGTCGGTTACTTCCAGCACTTTCCAGAGAATTTTTTAAAGCCCTACGGACGTGTCGAAGGTTTCCCAGCTGATGCAATTGCACTATCAAGACTTCGCCCAGAATGTTGTGAGTGGCTAAGAAGACCACACGTGGCAACATCTGAGCTTTGCTCAACTATTACAGAAAACATTCCCTTGCTGCAGGAGGACAGTCTTTTCTGAGACAAAGATAAAATCAGCTCCTTTTCCTCCAACATACAACCACTTGCCCTCACTCTTCAGAATTTTCACAAAGACTCTCTCACAAGCCCTTCTGACCTCGACAAACGTTCCCTCCTGTTAAATCTACTAAAGCTCACTCCAGACCTTGCCTCCCAGCTCAACTCGTGCATCAAGATAGGTGCAGCTCTCTTCTCCATTGGCCTTAATATACGAGTTGCCCATCTCCTCATTTCCAACCCCAAAAAAAGCAGATCTACTCACTTTTGCCTCAAATCAGAAGATTGAGAAATCAAAACAAGAAAAGAAGGTGGGCGATACCATTTACTTTGATGTGAAGGGTTCTCTGCTGTGCTGTTATACATCTTGGGTACGAAATGCTCAATGCAACCACCAACAAACTGATGTGGTAAACCCGGGCAAATTTCCAAAGATAATGTTAATTTGATTTTCAGTGTACAAAGCATGAGAAGCAAGAAGACTCCACAGGAGCATACGAACTGTGAAGGAAAGATCTTCTTTGAAATGAATTTCGTACTTTGGTACCATATGAACATGATTAGCGAAAGTGAACAAAAATGGAGGACATGAGATTTCGTGAATGAGAAAATCGCAGTCAGATTCTGAAAAGAGTGTGTGTGTAACTTGTTTGTGGCAGCCAAGCGTTCATAGCAACCTTGCTTTTTTATCCTTCAATGCTGGCTCTTCCTATCATTGTGAAGCAGAATTCACCAAGCACCGCTTTGTTCACATGCTAATGGGGAACCTGGAGCTGGGTTTAGACCGTTATGAGACAGTTTAGTTCTATCCTACCGATGAAGTGTTATTGCAAAAGTAATTCTGCTCAGTACAAGAGGAACTGCAGATTCAGACAATTGGCAATTGGCATGCAAGTCAGTGTGAAAATGTCAGCGTGTAAGCTCTCACATTTTCACTTTAGAGGCTCGTTTATGAAAGACTGTAAAAACCTCCATGTACTTCCCGACGTTTTGCAAATAATTCATTTTAAATTTTTAAAGTATATACAACAATAGGCCTTGCTAATATCTGTTCGTTTCTGTTTTTTGCATTCTCTTGAGGTTGGCAGAGCAATAAGTACTGTTTCTAAAAGATTGTGTTATTAAGTCTTCATGTTTCATTCTCTCATCAATTGTGCATTAAAGTCAGCACCTTATTTGCCGAAGATGTGCTGAAGATGCTCCAACAAACTTGACTGTTTTTAAAAGAACTAGTCCGATGTCATGTGAGCTGCTTGTCTGCCTGCATATTTTCCTTTCCAAATTTTCCCAGACGGTGAAGGATAATTTGGAAATCTTTGAAGAAAGTCACCTTATCAAAAAGAAGAAATATTCTTCCACTCTCAAAAATATCCATCTTTTCTCTGACGAGCTGCAGCATTACAACAGCAAAGAACCCACTGCAGTTCCCTCAAAAAACAATGCCAACAAAGTGCCTAAAACAATTGCCGATGATGAAAGCATAAGTAGTTTCGCAGAAGAGGAATTTCTTTTAGGAGTAGCACTGTTTACTATGAGCTGCAACTATCTAGTTGCACCCTCATTCTTCAGAAATCCAGAGAATCATGCAGAAGTCATTTCCATAAAGTTTGGGGAAGGTAAAGCATTTAAAAAATTGGAGACGCTTAAGAGCCTCCGCTCACTCTTCTTGGTGGGACAGAAAAGAGCACATCCTGAGAAGGGAACCCAGGATACCGCTATGATCTCACAAGATCTCTCTTCAAATGATGATGATGAGCCACCTGCGAAAAAGAGGAGAAAGAGTAAAAAGGTAAAAAAGTGTGGGTGATTGCTGGTCATGTATATACTGTAAATGATGTCAAAGTGAAGAAATTGAACCAAGCGTGGGTAAACGGTGGGAGTGATTATGACTCCCTTATTTTGGTTGAGTGATAAACTGACTCTCTTGGGCGGGAGTAACTATGACTCTCTTATATTACACCGATAGACATGATGGAGCCAATTTCGGCTGGACCAAGTGGTAGCAATGAGGATGAAATATGAGTAAAACCCAGCTCACTTGATGTCCTATAGCAGAGGAAAGTCACATGCCATAATAGCGTTCCTATAATGGTGACCAAGACGTGACACGCAACTCCATCGTTGGTTAATCCTACTTCGCCTACAACATGAACGCTTCGTTGGCAGGAAACACACGCCTCAGCTCAAGTTTTTCATCAAACAAGGATTCGTCAGCACAGCATCAAATCAACTCATTCGGATTCGTCAAGTCAACAACCAGCACTTGACTCACCGTAGTGATCTTCAACACAAGCAACAATCACTTGACTCACCGTAGTGTCCTCAAACACATCCCAGCACTCGACTCACTGCAGTGCCTCCACGCAAAACCAACGCTCAGGAACTCTCAAGAAAATATTGGCTACGTCACAAACTCTCATCGCATTTATAACAGTTGGACATTTAAATTTCGAACAATTCATTTTTTATCGCAATTTACTTAACTTGTACTTTTCAATGTGACCAATAAGACTCTCAAGTGGCCTGACTGTTGCGTAAGATCAGCGGTAAGGGGTTGGTTACGAGTTCCAAAGGACATGATGAACGATGGCTAAATGTGCAAGTAGAGGAAGACCTGCTAGAAGGGTCGATTGTGACACTTACAGAAGAATTGAAACCATTAGAAACATCGTCCAGGTATGTCTGGAAGCCTGGGTCCACCGCATAAGACGGCATGACAATCTCTGTAACTTTGTAGCTGGAAAGCTAACACGAAAGGTATACCGTGTCAGTCAGGAGGTATTCGTGAACCTTCCGAATGGCACCAAGATGAGGCCTGATTTGGTGATTTCCAAGGATGGGACATCAGATGTTATCGATATTACCGTGGTTGCAGACAACGCAAACCTGGATAGCGAGCATCAAAACAAAGTTAGCAAGTGTGTGACTGAGTTCGTGCAGAGGCTCCATGGGAATAGTGCTGTAGTGTACACAGCCTTAGCTGTGAATTGGAGGGGTCCAATGGCACTGCTTTCTTTTCAGTCAATTACTGAACTTGGCCTGTCACAGAATTATCTCAAGCTTGTAAGCATGAAGGCTGTGACAGATGGAATGAAAACTTACATCGCACATAGGCAAGGGACACACTGGAGACCGGCATATGAAGCTCATCGCTAGTGAAAGATGGGCCGAACTGGGACTGGACTCTAGTGCACCAAAAGTGGGAGGGCAGCCAGTGCGCGCTTCTTACTTTAGTGAAAGCGTAGGTGCACATCTGCTTGAATCGTTATCCGTAATGATTAATCCCTCAAGCTATTTACACGACCTTGCTACCACTTCCACAGGTGCTAGGCCTACGGAAGAAAGGTAAGGCCTAATCAATATTATGAAATTGTAACTGATGTCTAATGTGTTTTCTTGTAATTGGAATAAATTAAAATGATTGGAAAATAACCTAGATTAATATCTGTATCTCATGAAATCATCTTCTTTGACTTATTAAATTAATATTTTTGTTGTTCGTTATCCCTAAGCAGCTAAAAGCCCCCACGCTATTGTTTTCAGGCCTGAAATGTTCACAATAACGGAAGCGGTGACCAACAAATCAATGGTACAGATATGGTCTGAAATCGATGTGCCCTCCAACTATCTTTAAGAAGGCATTAACATTGACCAAGCTATACCTGAAAATGTAGCTTGCAGCACGCCCAAGAAGGATAAAATTGCAACTGAAGTCATCAGGTATTTCTCTGGCCTGCAAGGACTCAGGCCTAAATGTTTAGAAAAAATATTTTTGGTAGCAACCGTATCTCAGTACTCCCTCTTATTTACAATATGTGTCCAACTAGCCTATTATGAAACTTGAACTCAAGTAATAAAGTTTCATTTTCAAACCTTTCCCCACCTACAAATTTGGTTTTGTAACCTTTAGTAGAGAATGGTGGCATCACAACTAAATAAGCAAAGTTATGGGGTAGCAGTATAATGGGGTAGCAAATAATTATTCAAACATTCTATTACATTTCTTTTGCATTGTAGCTGCATTGAAATGCCTGGTTTTTTGGAAGCCAACTGTGAGACAAGGGTAGAAGCCACAGGTCTTTTTCATCAATGTCCACCGTGAGTTACTTTCTATGCTATTTTGTGATCAGGTCTTAGTTCAGTTGTCCTTTTTATCTCCCTTGTGTTCTTTTTATGGTTCTCTTTGGGGGTAATCATCTTGTAAAATTATTGTGGATTTTGTTGCTGAAAGTTTTTTGTTTGTAAAACAGTGTTTTTGTTCTTCAAGGTAATTTTTGTTCTTCTTAATTTTTTTATTCTTAGTTACAGATGGCTTCTACTGTATGGTCATTTGAAATCTACTTTAGAATTTGTACATACTGACTATGTGTCGCTCTCAAAAGAAATGGGAGATATAGATTACAGTTTGTAGTAACAAAAAACCTTTTCTATTTATTCACTCAATCACTACTTAAAAATGTTTACTTTATCCAACATTCAGAAATGAGGAAAGCCACATTGACAGTATCCTGTTGAAGAGTCTTTGCTTCAAGAGCAATTTGAAATGATGCATACATGTCCTGAATACGCAGCTGTTCAGAATGAAGTTGAGAATCCTTCTTGGTGTGGAGGCTTTACTCATGAATCTTATGGAGATTTGACAGATGAGCTTCAAAAAATCAATGACACAAAGTGTATTGCAGCAGTTAATCAGCTCAAGATTCTTATTGGCAAGAATTGTCATGTTGATGTCTGTGATGCAAAAATTATTAGCATTCAGCATTTCACGCTACAATACTGCTTGTAGTTGGAATGGATCTGTTCTAATAATCACCGCCAAATATGGTATTTGAGTCCTTTTTATGCAGCTGGTTTGGCAATTAATTATCTTGTAGACACGTCGTTGCTCTTGTCAGGTGGCACAGTCACTCAGTTCAAAAGGTTTTGTAATTTTATCAACCTTGGAAAGTGTTCCAGCACATCATTTTACTGCAACCAAAGGCTCTATGTTTCCCCTACTGTTGACCAAGAATTTCTAGAGATGCGAGAAAGGCTTTCAAAGGCATTAATCCAGAATGAAGCGGAAATAATCTTGTGTGGTGATGGTCGCATGGACTCACCAGGTTTCAGCGCAACAAAGGGTACCTACACCCTTATGAATTATGTGACAAATGAACTGATTACATTAGAATGTGGAGACAAAAGAAAGATGGGTCAATACATTCTGAGATCTTTGTTTTGTCAAAACTTTGTTTTATTGTGGTAATTTCATAAGGAGATTATTCCTTCTGGACATTCATTTACTATGCACCAAACCTGTATGCCTTTTAATCTCCACTTAAACTCTATTCGTTGTATGAACATTTGTTCCAACCCTGTATTCCCAGAAAGATGTTTCAAATTACAGTTGAGGTATTGCTTGCCCAAGAACTCCTTAGCATTTAAAAAAACTTATTTTAAAAAATGCCTTTAAACCAATAGAATTATACAAGATTTTTGGAGATTGCTTTAGAATTTCCTGATAGTTTTGCTGATGTCTAATGTAAATGACCCAATAAATGCATTGTATTCAATATCTAGTATCACCAGACTCAGAATTATAACTGGAATCAATGCCTTTACATGCAAACTGCTTATTTGTCCTAAGGTTGACTTGAAGTCTACAAAGCTTGAAGTACACTTGTTTATGAAATGTATGGAATGGGCAAAGGGAAAATTTGGAATAGCTTTGTCAGAAGTTTGTACTGATGGCCATGTAACTATTGCATCTCTCATGGGTAAGTTATTATTACAGTTTCTAAAAACCATTTCCACTAAACAGCAACAATTTCAACTGCAGATGAAAATGAAATTACCCTTCTATTTAAAGTTAATCTATTGGCTAAATATTTTTCATGGTGCAATAATTTCAATTTTTCTCACAGCAAAGCATCCTCTACTCGATGGAATTTTTCACTCAAAAGATATCTGGCATAAGACCAGCAAAAAAACTTCGAAGCCAAATGAGGTACATACATTTATAAACAGATTTAAAAACAAAATAGTCATCACTGCTGTATTTTTTTTATTCAAACTAATTACACAACAGGGAACCCACAATAGCTTGAATTCTGAAGACTTTCTTTTTAGAAATTGCTGCAGTTTTTCATAATTTTTCATATTAAATGAATAACACAAAATTAGCAAATTATAAGTATTCTGCATTTTTGCTAACTAGATTGCAAAGAAACGTGCACACAGCAAACTCCAGCCATGGATTCCATCCATACGAAATCATTTTTGGTACTGCTGTAGTCATGCTGAAGGGAATAACCTTAAGCTAAGACTTCTCTGGAAGAGACTTCTCAACCATGTTTCCAATGACCATCAGTTTTGTGAACATGAAGAAATGCAAGAGCCATGTGGCAATAAAGAATGGCTAGAGCCTGGTGGTGCAACGATGAAACTGCTTTGTGAGCAAGTTAATGACCCCAAGTTGTTGAAGTCCCTGGACTATTATGTCCGGAATCGACACACTGGCATGCTAGAGGTTACTACCATTGACAGTTGTTCTTGATGATAAAGTATAAAGTAAAACTTTGGCTTGACTTTTTTTAACTCACCGGCTTTGGCTTATTTGATTTTTTTTAAAAAAGGTACTGAATATACCCTAATTAAAATTTTTGAATTCTGTTGTTCTGTTAAAGTTCAAGTGAATCAACTAATTTATTTTGTTTTTCAAGGTATTCCACAACGTTATCTTGGAATATTGTAGCAAAAGAATTGGCTAAAAAACGATGCTTTTGTAACAAGGACACAGTTAGCCTACCTTGACTACAATAGTCATTTTAACAGGCCCCAGCTTGAAAGAAAGGATGGGACTTTGGCATTTGGTAGGAGATTTGGCAAGAGAACAAAAATGTGGTATGCCACTCCAGTTCCAGTTGCAAAATCATACAGCTATGTACCAGGTATATCAGATGCTTTCATTTTTCTAAAGACCAAGAGAAATATTTAAATGTTTTTAATGAAAAAAGTAATTCAATATCATTGTGACAGTTCCTGAAAATTTATTGACCAATATGGTAAGTTTAATATGATTATAAGTTTTGTCAAATATCAGTCCCATTGAATCAAATTTTAATTAACAAAACATGTTTCACAAAAACTGTTTGTGATCAGTTGTGGAGTTTCATTCATAACATTATAAGAAAGATTATGCTTTGCTGTAATATGGGCCTTTTTCCTTACAGATTTAATAGCAAAGTCTCTGTGGCGCCGCCATATGGATACAAGTGCTGTTTCAGAAGCAAAAGTTTCCAGAACAGCAACAGCAGCCCTCCCCCCAAATATAGCTTCTGTTCCTGCGCCACCAACTGCTGAACTAGTAAAGGCACATGTGAAGCGACTGAGCATGCAGCAAGGAGAAATATAACTAGCACATCATTCTAAAGTGCAGGGTCAGACATTATCAAATGTTATATTGTCGCTAGCTACAAAAAACACTCCTGAGGGGACGGCATATGTTGCTTATTCAAGACTGCACTGTTTAAATGACCTGCATTTGCTTGTCCCATTGACACCTACACATTTCACTTAAGTTGCACTTCAAGGACCATTGCTTTTTAACTAATATTTTGTTTCTCACTTATATTATGGCTAGATATATTATAGCTATATTAAGGCAAAGGTTATATTATGGCTAGATACAGAACGCACTCCTGTGGGTGCACTCTTTGAATGACCTGCATTTTCTTGTGCCATTAACACCTACACATTTCACTCCAGTTCCTTTTTTATGACCATTGTTTTTCACTTAATACTTCGTTTCTTATTTTCAGATGGCATACTAACGGAAGAAAATAATGAAAGGTGTTGGTTACTTCCACCATTACCCGAATGACTTCTTAAAGCCTTACGGACGGGCAGAGCCCTACCCTACTGATACTGTGGCACTTTCTTGCTTAGGGCCAGAAGGCTGTGAGTGGCTTCGTCGGCCTCATGTTGCCATATCAGAACTTGCTTCAACAATAAATGACAACCTGCCGGTTTTGGATGCAGATCTTGCACTGCTGGATGACAGGAAGCTTTCCTTGTTCAAACAAAACATAGAAAAATTGGTCATACTGCTAAAGCAGTTCCACAAGGATTCTTCAGTGATTCCAACTGATGTGGCCCGAAGAGATCTTCTACTCAAAATTTTAAAATCTTTCAGCAGAGCTGTCGTCTCAACTGAGCTCCTGTGTGGAAGTTGGTGTTGCCCTGTTTTCCATTGGAATAAATTTTAAAGTTGCACAGACCCTCATTAGTAACCATGAAGAGTACGTTGATTTAATTTCATTTGCCCCAAACCCTGAACCTCCTTTCAAATCTTTCAAATCCAAAAACTTATAAGACCTTCTATCGTTACTTTCAAACCCAAAATCCAGATAAGCACTACCCTCAACCAACCTTTCTTCCCTGATATCAATTTTACAGTCTCCAGAAAACCCACCCTCTACAGTTCCTTCTTCAACAACATCTTCATTGACCACCCTTCTAACAAATACATCGCCACCATCTTCAACACCCCAAGTAACAACAACACAGCCATTGCAACCAGCTCCCAAACAGTTCCCTCTCCCTGCTGAAATGTTTCAACTCTTTGCACAACATTTTCCAAACCTCCTACAAAACCAAACAGCACCTGTTCCTGCTGCTGACTCAGTTGCTCCAAGAGCAGTGCCAGAAGCAGCAGATACAATGCAATCGAAGAAAAAGAAGAGAAAGTCCAAAAAGTTGGACAGCGACAATGAAGAACAGCCAAAAACAAAAGTGGCAAATCCGAAAAAAGACCGAAAAAAGACCGAAAAAAGATTGACTGGAAAAAGAAAAACATTCTGCAGTTGAAATAAATATTTGTAAGCAACTGCAGGTGAATGACACGTTTATATTGTGAGAATAATTGTTTGTTTCTTCAATGACACTATCTTCATTTTGTGAAATCTAGTGATTTTGATAAAAACATGGCTATTGAGGCAGTGATCATTCACACATTCCATGAGTTTTTAACGTGAACTGGATACATAACAAGGTATATTTTGTTACCTAGGTATGTAACATACTGAACTGCCTTTTTCCAATATTACTATAGATATAGAAGTAACTTTTTTGACCAAAATTTATTTTCAACCAAAGTTAATGCAATGCATTGACATTGTTGAGAGATGAATCCATGTGAAAGATTTTCAGGGTCCAGGTCAGGGTTGTGCTGTATCGGCGTGTCAAAGTTTTTGTTGTAAGGCTTAAGTATGGAAACAAAATTTAGAAATGTTATTGTTACAATGTCAAAACACATAGCCTTTTGATATTTGGTGCAAAGTTGCATCTTGATAGTTGTAAGGTTGTGTCAGATTTTCGTGTCATTGTCCTGAAGGATGTTTGGTCTATAGACCTTACATTGCTATAAGGCTTCAGTACTGGAAAATTTTCTTTCCACCCCTACTCTAGAAATATGACTTATATCACATAATCGTCACCTGGTGTAATACTCCTCGATAGTTGGCTACTAACTTTATTGGTTTCATGTCATCACTTTCAAGGATGTGTGAGATACAGGCCTGTGAATCCTATAGAGCTTAAGTACTAAGAATGACAAAGACATATGACGTCATAAGTCCAAGCCCAAAGGTCCGATTTAAATTTGGTTTTCTGCATTATTCGTTTCTTCTCTATATCTTCATGTGTATTAATTTTCAATTCAATATCTTCTATAGTTTTTGATTTACAATTTTCGTGACTCAGGTCAGCCATTATGATTTTTGGTCAGCCATCATGGAAATTGAGGAGTGGCAATTGTTTTTTGCCTCTACCTCTCTCAATATTTTTCAAACAATAACATATGTATATATCATTAGAAACAGCGCATTTTTTTCTATCGAATGGTATCAAATACTTTATTTTTTAACCACGTTTTGAAAAGTTATTATACCTGTTTCGTCCTAGTACTATATTGTTAACAAAAGTCATTGGCACACAGATTTCTTTCTCATTTCACGTACTCGCAGCTAGCAGACGGTTTACTTTTCGCTTCAGCTCACGGTACTTTATATTTTACGTTAATAGTAAAGAGTTTACAGCATATATTTAGGGTATTTAGTGTTTTACATTGTGTATATATACCATTCTGTCTTGTTCATATAAATTTGCTTAGTTTTATATACTGAAACATCCATAGTTTTTGTTTTTATCATACATTCACGGCATTTAACATTTTATATTGTTTATATAAAATTTGTCACTGTCTTATCTTTCTTTTGTAGACGCCTTACACAGCTTTTGATATCTTTTTCTCGAAAGAAAATCATTTTCAAATCATTGTAAGTACCATATTCTATCTATTTTCAAAACATTTATTATTGACAAAGTTCTACCGTTTCTCATTTATTGCAATTTTCTCTGAACTAAGATTCATTTCCAATTTATTTTGCTTTCTTGTAACACCCTTTTTCCTCCAATTTACTAGGCTATATTACATAATTCATTTAAAATATACCTATTGTCAACGTATCATTTTTTTTCATAGAAACTTGACAGTTTTTGTAAGAAGCTTGCATTACAAACTGTAAGTACCAACCTTTCTTTTCCTTATCATGCCTATACCTTGGAATTTAGATGTAGCACGGTCTTACTGGAATGGAAGGAAATTCTATGTTCTTGACCAAGGTCCCAATGCAACTACAAGAATGGCAAATTTCATTCAGTCCAGGGAACGTCACAAACAAGAACCGGACGCTCAAATGGCAACAATTTGTTCCCAACAAGTTTAAAGAACATATTTCTGAAAAAAGTAATGTTGTCTCGTCTTTGTTGGGCTGGTGTCAAACACTTTCCTGGAGCAAATGTGAAAATTGCAATAGCATAATCACTGAAAAGCTTTTGCCAAATTTTTCAAAATTGCAAAAATGCAATTCAAAGACACAGTGCCATTGTTCTTCTGATAGATATATGGTACCAATTTTCGAAAATTTGCCAAAATAGCTATCATCCCTAAAAAAGAACGTATTTTGGCACTAAGACCTTTTGATGTAGATTCTCGAAAATATGAGAGGATGAAATATGGCTATCAAAAGAAAAAAGGCATTATTCGATTAACTTGCTCCCAGCAATCTGTTCAGGAAAAAATAGAAAACCTTTCCTCACAGGAAGACCGTGCTATTTGTACAGCCGCTTTTCAGTTCTTAATATCGAACTCTTTATCTTCTTACAAAAAGTTTTTAGATTTGCGGGACAATCTGGTGAGGTTGAACAAAGAGCCAAATATTTTCGATGTATACAAGTGGGAGGGGGTAGAGTGTGCATTATGGCCAAATTTATACCCCTTCACATCTTGGTGTGATACTATACACGATGGCATTTCAGACAGGAGAAGTTCCAAAGTATCTTTTGTAGCTAAATGCCTCTCTTCCATTGTAGATTATAGTTTGCATTTTGATATTTTACAATTCCATTTTGACCGTTGGCTGTATAAGACCATTACTGGTGCTGTACATTCTTCACGTTTATCCTCTAGTCTGCCAGTCACTGCTTTTCAAGCCTTGCAAGATAAGCCATTCTCCAAGGGCTATTGGGAATGGCAACACCTTTATTTGATTGATGCCGTTTGCCAATTTGGCCTCCCTTCACTGTTTATTACTATCAGTCCCTCTGAATGGTCCTTTCCAACACCTTTATGGCTGGATGACATCCGCGAGGAGACTGGATATGGGCCAACTAATCTCCCTTTTTTCGAATCTTTACATTTTCTTCATGTATTGGAACAAATTGTACGGGGCTATCTTTCTGGGTCGAATGATTCAAAATGGGCAGATCATATTTTCTCATACAATCACAACAAGATGAAAAACAACATTTTAACTTATTTCTATCGCTTTGAGTTCCAAAAGCGAGGCACAGTGCATATTCATTTTCTTGTCTGGTTGAAAAACATTAAGTATATTGATTATCAACATATAAGAGCAGACATACCCAAAGATGATCCTCTTCTTTTCTATCTGGTTAAAAAGTGCCAAACTGTTCACAGGTCAACCTTGCCCATCAGCGAAAATGACACTCATGTTGACGAAAGCAGTCAAGTTCCTGTTCTCAAAATATTGCACCCTCCTTCTGCCCATGCACTAGGTCTGCGTGCATATATAGATACAGTTCTGGCCACCTTGAAATCCTCTATGGATGTACAGACTTCCAATGGCAAGCAGATGCTCATAAATTATGTAACATCATATTTTTCCAAAGCAAAAGAATCCTTCCACACTGATGCCCTCTATTCATCTTCTTTAAATCCAGCTACTACAGCATTTAAGCATGCCATGTCCAGAAGCAGCTCAAAATAATCAGACATTAATAAAATATTAAGCACGGACCTCAAATTTTGAGATTTTTTCTTTAGCACAATGGTTACGTATTGTTGATGAGACTGAAGCTGTTCCTACTCAATATAAAAAAGACAAAGTTGTTTTAGTTGGATTTAAGTTCGCATCAATTTTCAATCCCGGATATTTCTTTCAGTACCTTCTTGCCCATTTTCCTCATCAAACTTTGGAGCAAATTAGTCCTCCACTTGATCATTCTCTACCATCTCAAATTCTTTATTTTCATAAAGCACATTTATTAATGCCAACCTGTTTCCCGGATGGCTGTTCTTTTGCTGCAACTTTGGAGATATATGGACACAAAGAATATTTTCTCAAAACTATTTCTGCATTCGTGGAAAGCTTGATAGACCTTAACAATCCTGATAGACGACAAATCCTTCCATGTGCTTTCAAATCAACACTCCCTGAAGCTCATGTTAATCAGAACCTAAACTTGAGAGGCAATTAACTCGTTTTTTACAATTATTTCAAGGAAATAGTTGAACAACGAGAACAATCTCTTTTGACCAATTGCAATGTTATTGAAAACTCTCTTGATTGGAAACGCTTCCCTTGAGTAGTTGGCAAACCTGGAACTGGAAAATCTTACACAATTCAGCAGTGTATTGAATTCTGTGTTGAGAACAATCTTGCAACTTGTGTTGCCACACCAACCGGCACTCTGGCATGCACGTACAAAGATTTATATGAGGATAATGTAACTTGCGATACAATTCATAGCCTCTTCTCTTTCAAATGTCATGCTAGCATGTCTTCATCAATTAATACAATGCTTTCTTTATATGATGTCATTTTCATCGATGAAATATCCCAAGTTAGCAAGGAGCTTTTCCATCATGTTTTGCAAACTATCAACATTTTGTCTAGACGGCCAATCCTTGTACTTTGTGGAGACTTTTAAACAACAGCCTCTTGCTACACGGAACAATAAGACAGTACAAGCAGAAAACATTCTTTCTTGTGTCCACTGCATGTCATACGTTGTAATGTTCGCACTTTCACAGCAATTCAGAATCCAGGATGATATTCTTCTAGAATTTTTTGCATCATATTCGATATGACATGCCAACGAACTCGATGCTACACGCATTATCAAATGGCCGGATACTCTGCAATTCAGATACAGTAACAGAAAGCGTTTTTGAAACTCTCAAACATTATCCAGATTCCCTTATAATTACTGTTACTCGACGCTCTGCATCTTTTATCAACAATTTGCTGGTTAAAAACTTATTTCATCAACATCCCCTGGCCCTTGTTGTTGCTGATGACGAAAATTTGATTTCCATTCATAAGGGAATGCGATTGATTTTAACCAGAAATGTGAATAAATCTATTGGTTTTGTTAATGGTCAATTTGTGACTGTCAAATGTATTTCCTCTAAAACAATAATTGCCACACATTCCAAAGGTCATGTCATTAATATATTTCCCATGACAACCATAGTAGATGAACAGACAATTACAAAATACCCCTTCCTACCCGGCTATGCTACAACAATTTCGAAGGTGCAGGGCCAGACATTAAAGAAAGTAATAGTTTGGCTTGACACAGAAACCACTCCTGAGGGTACTGCCTATGTCGCCTTGTCTCGGGTAAAGTCACTAACAGATCTACATTTTCTCACTCCTTTGAACAAAACACAGTTTAGACCAGTTTCCTAAAGTTACGTTAGCTAGACATATACACTTTAAACCCTCCATTACGCTTTAAATAATGCAGAATTCTCAGCAGTATATAATTGATTACAATTATACTCATTGATTTAATGTATTATTTTCAAATTCAATATAAATTTTTCTAAAAACTTGCATGGGTTTTTTTCCTGTTTGCATTAGTCAACTTATCGCGTCTCTTTTTTGACAAATGGCCTACACACAATCAAAAAAAGGAAAGGGAGTTGGTTACTTTAACCATTTTCCAAAAAACTTTTTGAAGCCTTATGGCCGCGTTGAGACATATCCGCCAGAACAGGTAGCCCTTACAAGCCTAAGGCCAGAAGGCTGCGAATGGCTGAGGAGGCCCCACGTGGCAACTTCAGAGCTCTGTTCTACAGTAACAGATAATTTGGAAGTGTTACAGAAGCCAAGCCTCCTCTTAGACGACAGCAAGAAAATGGACTTCACAAGGAACTTACAACCTGTGGCACAGCTGTTGGCTCCTTTTCACAAGGAAAGTCAAACTGTGCCAAATGATGTCAAAAGACGGAATCTTCTACTGGCCCTTTTGAATCCCGGGAATACATTAGGAGCGCAACTGGACGAATGTGTTGAGCTTGGTGAGGCACTTTTTTCAATTGGAATTAACTTCAAGGTGGCACAGACACTCATTTCAAATCCTAATAACTATGCCGAGATGATAACTTTTGCACCCAACAAGGAACCAACTTTCAAGACTACGAAAAATATAATTGATTTGCTCCCTTTACTACATAACTCCAAACCAACCTCCACAATTTCATCACCCAATAGATTATCCTTAACCTCACAGCTTCAAACACAAGAAACCACATATCCCAATACAACATCACCCCAAGATCTCTCTACAACAGCAACAACTGAATCCTTGACAAACCAACTGTCAACGCAACCACTTTCTACTGCTACTTCAACAGAAACATATATCAATCGACTTTCATCCCAACTTATCTCTACAACCACTTCTGCAGAAACTGTAACCAATAACAACTTCTTCAAATCTATCAAGCCATCGCCCACCTTATTCCACCACCTCCCCCTCCTTTACCGTCACAATCATTAAACCTAAACTCTCCTACAGTGCCACCGGAACCGCCAACCACGATCATTCACAAAACTAACAAAGAAGACAAACAAGAAGTGAAGCCCAATTGTACCAAAAAAAGAAAAAGCCCTGTCATCATCGACAATGAAGACATACCCCAAGCAAAAACCAATGGTGAAGGAAAGAAGAAGGATAAATGACTTTTAAAATTTATTTTTTTATAGAATTGCCATTTGTTTTTTTTTCTGTTGAAACCGAAATTTTATTGAGTCCTTCTCTGCTTTGAGTAAAATATATAATTCGGGTTGGGAGGGTGGGCAGAACGGGATGAATTTTGTGGCAGGTGTTATCCCTGTGGTAACTTTTCTGACACCCCTAGCTCTGGTGTTGGTTTTAAGTATCTTGCATAGTTTCAGAGAAAATTGTATTCATACAAAGATAATTCAAGATTTTTGGTTTCAAATACAAAATCAGAAATTGAAGGGTTTACTTTGTACAGTTGAGATTTTAAAAAAAAATACGAAACTAAGAAACTAGGAAAAATCAAATATATCAATTAGAAAGTGAACCACACCAGAAAAACAAGTTTTTTGGGACATTTGAAAACATTTTTGAGTTCTTTAATGCCGCTGAAAGTTTGAACTTACAAAGTTTTTCAAGGAAATATATTGAGCAGCAAAATGAAAATTAACATTTCAATTGTGAATAAAACATGAACCAAATACTTTTTTCACAATTGCTGACCATATTTGAACTTGCTGCACCTTAAAGAATAAACTGTGAAATCCATCATGTCATACACACCATTTCCGGCCTATCAACACGCCCCATTCTCATTCTTTGTAAAGATTTTTGTCCACAACAGCCGCTTTCCACTAGGAACAATAAAACTGTCCAGGCTGAAAACATAATGTCCTGCAGCCATTGCATTTCTGATCTTGTATGCTTCACCTTGTCTCAGCAACATAGAATTCAAGATGATATTCTGCTTGATTTTCTACATTATATTCACTATGACGTGCCAACACAAGATATGATAAATAAACTATGCAAAGATCGCATTCTTTCTGATAGTGATATACTTCAGGATAATTTATATGAGATATTGAAACGATTCCCACATTCTTTTGTTCTTACAGTAACTCGGCGTTCAGCTTCTTTTGTTAACGATGTTATCGTCAGAAATGCTTTTCAACAGCATCCATTAGCTCTGGTTGTTGCAGACGATGAATCCCTTATTCCAATACATAAAGACATGAAACTCATGTTGACACGCAATGTCAATAAATCCATTGGTTTTGTAAACAGCCAATTTGTTACTGTCAAGAGCATTTCAAATAAAACAATAATAGCCATTCATCCCAATGGACACGTTATCAATGTGTTTCCCATGACTAGTGTTATTGAAGACATACTGGTCACAAAATACCCTTTCCTTCCAGGTTATGCAACAACAATTTCTAAAGTGCAGGGTCAGACATTATCAAATGTTATATTGTGGCTAGAAACAAAAAGCACTCCTGAGGGGACAGCACATGTTGCTCTCTCCAGAGTGCACTCTTTAAACGACCTCCATTTGCTTGTCCCATTGACACCTACACATTTCACTTTAGTTGCACTTCAAGGACCATTGCTTTTTAACTAATATTTTGTTTCTCACTTATTTTATGTCTAGATATATTATCGCTATATTAAGGCAAAGGTTATATTATGGCTAGATACAGAACGCACTCCTGTGGGTGCACTCTTTGAATGACCTGCATTTTCTTGTGCCACTAACACCTACACATTTCACTCCAGTTCCATTTTTATGACCATTGTTTTTCACTTAATACTTCGTTTTTTACTTTTAGATGGCATTCAAAAAGAAGAAAATAATGAAAGGTGTTTGTTACTTCCACCATTACCCGAAGAACTTCTCAAAGCCTTACGGACGGGCAGAGCCCTACCCTACTGATACTGTGGCACTTTCTTGCTTAGGGCCAGAAGGCTGTAAGTGGCTTCGTCGGCCTCATGTTGCCATATCAGAACTTGCTTCAACAATAAACGACAACCTGCCAGTTTTGGATGCAGATCTTGCACTGCTAGATGACAGGAAGCTTTCCTCGTTCAAACAAAACATAGAAAAATTGGCCATACTGCTGCAGCAGTTCCACAAGGATTCTTCAGTTATTCCAACTGATGGAGAACGAAGAGATCTTCTTCTCAAAATTTTGAATCTGTCAGCAGAGCTGTCGTCTTAACTGAGTTCCTGTGTGGAAGTTGGTGCTGCCCTGTTTTCCGTTGGAATAAATTTTGAAGCTGCACAGACCCTTATTAGTAACCCTGAAAAGTACGCTGATTTAATTTCATTTGCCCCAAACCCTGAACCTCTTTTCAAATCTTCCAAAAACTTAGAATAGAAAAAAAGAAAAACAGGGAGCAGAATTGGCAACACATGTTCCCAGTTAGGCCTTTTAGAAAATGTTCTTCCTTGTGAAGCTGAGGTTGTCCCTTATTTACTACGCTGGTGTAAGACCATGTCATGGACAAAATGTGAATTTTGCAACAGCATAATGTCCCAAAAACACTGGCAATATGGGAGTGCCAATTGGGCAAGAGGCAGATGGTCATTCAAGAGAAGGCAGAAGACAGGTCTAAGAGTGTGCTGAATTCCTAATCGAGACTTTTAAATAGCTCAATAATATACATTTTATTATCGATTTGATTATAATCACACAACGAGTACCCTTATCTTCCAACCTCTAATTAAACTGTTTAAGGAACGAACTATCGAGCAGCTACCATTTTTATTGAACCCTTCTGTCCCATACGTATCTAAGTAGCACCCGCTATTAACTTTGACCATATATTTTGAATGTTTTTTGAAGGTTGCCTTCCAGAAACAATTTCCCCAGCCTTCATTTTCTTCAGCGACAGTTGGCCAAAAAATTTGCACCTACTTTAGCTATAAGGAAAAATGGAAATAGAAAGCATAGCATAAGATTTTCATTGATAAATTACCATTTATCTTCACAACATTATCATTTTCATTGGTAAATAAACTTTAAATCACATATAGCTGAAATTATTGTCGCTTTCTAAATTTTTCAAATGTAAGACATTCTGCAAAGAAATCTGCAAAAGTTGTTGATGTAATTTGAAAGGAAGTTTTAGTTCAGAAATGCTGAAACTGCAATTAGTGAACGTAGATGATTGCATGAAGATATTCAAGTTAATGGCATCGAGTTGGGCCAACATCAGGAGAAAATGTCAAATACTCTGTTTTGACTTAAGGTGGATAATACGGAGTTACTTAAACTTATTGTACAAAGGCGTCACATCAACAAACAGTTGTAGAAAATGGCCTAAATGACTTTTTAATAAGACCCTGTCTTTAACTCAGCCGTAAAAATTAATCAAAACTTCTACACAAGGAAGTTCACTTTCAATTCTACATGATATTATATCAATTGTCACTATCTTAAGAGAAATTTGATAAACAAACCTCGCTGCTTGGTCTATCTAAAATTACTTCTATCAATGAACACAGAGGTCACAGGGCCCTAAGAGAGAGGTTATATAACATTTTTGATGCTTCTTTGTTTGAGTATGCTTTGATAATTTTAACATTCTAAAAATTATTATGAATGGTAGTATCACCAAATGCAACTTTCCTCGTTTTCCAATTTATATTATTGATAATAATTCCATCTTTCCATGTATTGCGCACATCCGACTCTGCAAAATCGTACAAATAACTACAACTTACAAATATTGTCTTAACATATTTCCTTGGTTTTTATAAATGCTGTATCATGATCCCTTTTGTGATAATGGTTTATTATTTTGTGAAACAAGGATAGGAAACTTTTTCAACTAAAATTTACCAAATAGATCTATAATGAGCAAAGAAAATTGCCACATTATATCCTCTACGGGAACCTTTACAAGAAAGGATGGAAAAGATTCAATAACCATCGAAAAGATAATAATGATCTAATAGTGCAAAAGTATATTAAATATCACGGTTTCTAATATGTAAAAGGAATATATAGCGACAAACTATAGCATACATAAATTATTATTTTTATATGATAGCCTCTCTACCATCTTGTTTAATTTATGACAATTATCAATACATCAAGAAACATAGCTTTATTCGGTTCTACTTCTGCATCCTCCCCCATAGCAGTCACTAAAACATCACCACAGGAAGAGCATTATATGTTTTCACGTATATTCCGCAACAAAAATAGTGCATTTTAGGACAATTTCGCGCAGAAATGTACTGATGGTACAGAAATGTAATTATGTTTAAATTCATTTAAGCTGTGATAGTATTTGACAACTATTTCAGCATTAATCTGCATATTCCTCCGCTCTAGGAAATGCTGCAACTTTAAAACTCAGACTTACACAAATCTCAGAAAATTTTGCGAACTGATTATCAACTAAGAACAGTTATTTGAAAAGTTGTCTTCAAAGTAAGTGTAATAAAACCTTTTCGAATGATCCTCTGACACTATTTAATCTCATAGAAAATAACTGATGAAACACAATCAAAAAAGGTAAACTCACCTGCGTTTATTTCTTTGTCTCCCTCCTCTACATGAAGATTGCCAAGCATCATTTGTTCTAGAATTTCCGATGTAATGTAAAATTAAGAAATGCAAAATTAAGAAAAATATTAGGTTTCGTACATCAAAAGAGCCAAAACAACAAGAAAAAAACAAGAGTCAAAATTCAAATTAAATGATCTACATTGATAAACAAAATATGACGATACTGTTACTTGGACTATAGGGAAAATTGCTCAATTTTATATAGATTTAGGGTTTAATATTAAAGATTTTGGCCTATAGCTAACTGGATATCATGAACAGTTGCAAGCCAAGCAAAAAAGATTCAAATCTTTAAAATTGAAATGAGGGATTTCATATTCTGTAGATTAATTTGCATTTGTTTGACAACAAACTTTCACACCTGGTAACAAAGATAAGAGCATTTCATGAAATACAGCAGGGATACGCTCTACATTTTTGCTACATAGAAGATTTGAATTAGCCCACATTTACATATAGATCAACTTGTAGACCAAAACAAAGACCAAATCTACTGGTGAAACAGCATCAGCAAAAGTTTTCTCACAACTTGAATAGTTTTAAAGTTACAGTTCAAGACCCACTTTTGGACTGGGTACAAGAACCATAGTTTAAAAATTGCTTTTGTGAAATTTTTAAACCTTTTTTGCATCCCATCTTGTACAGCACGTCAAGTAACGCCAGAAAAAAGTTTCAGCTTTAGAACTTGCAATGTTAAGAAGGTTGTAGTGCTATACCAGAAAGAGGACTGGGTACCAGTACCCCAGTCCAAAGATAGCTTTTGGGGGCTTTTTTGAAGCTTGATATGAACTTCATCTTATTCAGCATATCAGATTGTGTACTTGTACCAAACTTCATGCTGTTATCATAACATGCACAATGCTACCGCTATGCGTCTGCACTATCAGGAAACTCGAGAAAGCAGGTTGTTTGACAAAATGAAAAGTTTCCACAGCCATAACTTTGTGCTTATAGGTCCGATCACATTGCTCTTTTTAAATCTTTTGCTCAGTTTTGTATGCTCTTTCCAATAGTATCATCAGGTTTGAAAAATTCGAAAGTTGAAATTTTGCTGACCGTGCATGTTTCATGCTCCCGGAAACGCAACTTCCGGTCATTTGCCAGTTTGTTCCCCGGGCTTAGAATGATCAGTGGCCTTTACTCTTATGATTTAAACTTTAAAAACTTTGGTTACCCAGTTTGCTAGAATGTTATGCAAAATTCCCTGTCTAGTATGCTCAGCTGGGGCTTTGCGGGATACTCTTGGCGATCAATTGACGCTACTGAACAGATTCAAAGAAAGGACAGCTCCACTCTTCAGATGCCACTGATTTGGATACCTGCTGATGTCCGCACCAGTAAAATGCTTCTCACAAAGGAATGTAGACAGTGTAACATTAATACCGTCACGTCCATCTGCACGTTTTATGAGGTTACACCAACAAAGCTTCCCGATGCTCTTTTGTGAGAATCTGAGAAAATGTAGGCAGGATGGCAATCCATCAGTTTTGTAAAAGGTGTTATAACACCCATAAGCCGCGCATTGCCTACCGACTGATATTTTCTTCGTCTTTGAAATACCTTCTACCATTTGAACATCTTTATTCTCTATTTCCAAAAAATTGTCTTGGTTTAAATGGTTTAATTAAAAGAATTGTAGATATTTTACATGGAAGCGGCGTACGTGATTTATGCCAAACAACAACTGTCTCTATTCCATTAAACACCTTCGTTGTCAAACGGCCAAAAAAGGGATTGTGAAAAGGATCTATTGCCACAAGGATATCACTGTTATGAACTATGACTATTCGTTGGGTTGAACTACAACTTGTTAACTTGTTGACTTTGCTAGTTCAGCTGTTTTGTTAGGTCAGCGGCTTTGTGTTGTTAGGCTGCTATTTTGTTTTTTTGTAAGCACGTGTTACTATTATCTACTGCAATGACTCGTTAATATTTAGTACACTCACGAATGGTGGGTGTAAGGGTTTTTACAAGCTTAGGTGGAAAATTTGGGGTAAAATCTGTTCAAAAGAAGAAACGTTTTAGTTAATTAAGCAGCCTTAGCTACTAAAAATCAATAAAGATCCAGGCAATGATGGATGCCACGCTGGTCACATGTTATAGTTCCCTGAATGTCGACAAAACTAAACATTAATAATCTCAAGATGTTGAGTGGTACTATAACCAAAGAGCCTGAATGTGTCTTGTGTTGATTTTCTGGCAAATAGGAATTCCAAGATGAAAAGTTGGGTCAATCTACTAAATACTAATCTTCCTAATATGCAAATGAGCCTGAGACAAAAGATCCTCACCGCTCGGCCTTGAAGACGTTTACCAGCAAAAACCGCTTGGTTGATTTTCCTCTGTGCTCTTCGTGCTGGTTGTCCAGTGGTTTCTAAAGGTTCTTTTTCCCTCTTTTCTTTTGCTCTCTACAAAAGATTTCAAATTTTCTTCCTCCTTCCACCCTTTAAATTCAACCAAGGCTTTTCAAATTGGCTTCACTTTCAACAAAAGATCTACTGTTTGCCCATACAAATTATTTGGATTTGGAGTGATTTGGAGAATGAATCTACAATTGAATTTTCGAACTCGAAGCGGTCGTTGAAGGTCGTGTCATGCTACAGCTACGGCTACAGTCAGTGGCGGTGTGAGCTCTCCACAGACCTCAGGTGAGTCTCGCTGGGTTTTTATAAACTATTCTTCGTCATTTTCCTTTCCTTTTTATCGATTGAAGGATTGAAACCCTGTTCGTTATTATTTCGTTTGCAAGAGCCATATGATTCTACTTTTGACGATCTTCCATTTTGTTTTATTAGCTACATAGTTTGCTGCCCGTTTTTGGTTTTGCGATGGCTGCTGGCTATTCTCCTTCTTCACTGGCATCAGAATTGATGCCATGTGAGTACAAGTAAGCGTTGTTGTTTTTATGTGTCTTTTGCATGTTGCTTATTTCAAATGATTTTGTGCTTATTTCGATAAAATTACACCAGAAACCGACAGCTAAGAACCTTGTAGGAATCCTTCAAGGAATCATTTCAAATGATTTTATGTTTAGTTTGATGAAATAGGCGCAAAATAACTATACATTCAGATGTTACATCAATAAGTTAGAAATATATATATATATAACTTACCTTTTGCCAAAGCCACGAGAATCAGCAACCGGGTTTTTTTGAAGCAATCTGGGTTGAAGTGCAGGCTGCAAATGCAACTAGACACCGAGTGTTTCATAAAGTCCTTTTTTGTTCACTGGACGAACTTCACCCATAACTTAAATATCTTCACGTCTTTAGCAAATTTATAAAGCGAAAGTCCATCGCTATATACTGCCCGGCATTTCCCAACAACACATCGATTTGGCATTGTTTGTTGTCTTGGTGTAAAAACTTAAACTAAAGAATATTGGCGTACTCGCCTGCGATATCAGCTGATAGCAAGTAACAGCCTCGATAACGAGTTCCTTTAATATCGGGTTCCTGAAGTGACTTCATATCAAAAGAGAGCACCATCATAATTAATTTTTCTATTCTTTTTATCTTCACTCCATAGGGGCACACAATTACATATGTGCCTTTCATCACGAGAAAGCATGGAACGAATGGTTGTCGAAAGGAAGTCATGGCATTAGTGGTCATGCGAATAGCAGCAGTAAATCCATGCTGGAAAGAAACGTTTGTATTTTACAAGAAAGCCAACCTTGGAACAAGTCTGAGCACCTGCGCAAATGTTTCTCTGAGTTCTGCGATCTTCACTTAACGGTAGGATAGTTTGGATAGACTACTGAAATAAGACTTTTTAATGACAATATATTTGAATGGTTGAATCATTTCCTTGAGCTATTTACACTCAAACGGCCCTCACACTATATGTTGTTCATGTTATAGGGTTTGAAAAATCATATTTATAATGCCGAGTGTTAATGAAAAATTCACTTCAAGATATGGCTTTAAAAAACAATAATTAGATTTCTTAAAACGAATGCAGTTATTTAAGAGGCATATGCCGAAACCTAACATCAGTTGGATATGATTAATTACCTTTTGGTTAAGAAATTAGTCAGATTTTACAGAGACGAATCACTGCGTGTAGCAATTTATACAAATAATGTCATAGAGCGACAGAACAATTGGCTTAAGACATCATATCTGGAAAGCAGAAGAAACAGCTCAATTTCAGATCTTGTTGATATAATTTTGAACCAGTTCTTGCCGGATAGTTACAAGAAGTAGGTAGACTGAAAACAAAAAAACAATCAGCCAAAAAGTGTTGTCCATCACCTGATGAACAGGATGAGCTCCAACGTAGGGCCATCAAATGTAACCAAAAATAGTGAGAAGCTCTTCACTATAATAAGTGGTCAGGAGAAATATCAAGTTTGGTTGGGTTTCTTATATGTGGGTTTTTACTGTATTTCATTGATCAAACAATTTAAATTTTAGTAAAAACTATACATCCAGTTCAAAAAGTTTGTTTTCTTTCATTATTTGCATTATTGAGTATTCTGATTAAACATTTGCATTTCTGAAATTCACAAGAAAGTCAAGTTT